CGGCCGTAGGTAACACTTTATACCAATTAGCACCCTCTTTCACTAAGCCAGGTTCTCAAACTTGAGCTTGTTTCTAAGTCAGATTGCTGGGTACCACCCTGTTTCTAATTCAGTAGGTGGAGCATGAGGCACCAGGATTCGCATCTCTAACAAGCTCCTAGATGATATTGTTATCTACCTTCGGTCCCTACCAAGGGACCATTGACGCGTGCACTGCCTTGCAGTGCCCGCGGTGTCATGGATGAGACAGGAAAATAATTCACACAGACTACCGAGTCTTGTGGATGAATAGGGACGGCATGGCTACTCCCTCAAGTGGGGAGCGCCTCAGAGGGGCTTGACCACCCTCTCAAGGGGAGAGCCCTCTGACCCTTGCCTAGACGGGCTTTTCTTTTTTTTATTTTTTTATTTTTTTGTGCAGGAGTTCAGATACAACTTATTAATCATTGTTAGGCAGTAAACAGTAGATAGCATACAAAGAACTATTAGGGCTTCTTCTAAATCAGGGTCTATCAGCTAAAAGGCTACAAAACTTTGGGAAAACAAACCCATTTTCTGCCCGACCCTTTATCATTGAACTAAGAGCATTCTTAGTAAAGCAGATTTCACAGGATTTTACATATCCTTTCTCAGGGCTGATCACCCGGGGAGCCCGCCCTTTCCAGCACAGGGCTGCACTGCCCTCTGTCATTATTTCAGGCTTAAGTCAGGCGGAGGAGGCAGATAGCCAAAAAAATTTTAGAGACTTCTCTCGGACTCAGGGGAGTCAGGCTTTGTCAAAGTCAAGGGACCAGGGTCCATCACCCCTTCTCCATAGCCCCCGAAGTCCTTCCCTGGGGCCACCACGTAATCACGCCTGTCTTAGGTCAATCCTCCCTTGAGGAATCTTACCTGTCATTGGCTAACATACCAAGCACTGGAGGCCAGTTATAGAAAATGGAGCAGAAGCGGAGGCACTCCTGCCAGGGAGATAAGCTTTGTCTCCTTAATGGCTTAAGGTCCGAAGGTCACTCACTCAGTCTTAGCCATGGGGCCGGGGCGGGGGGTGGTTACAGCTCCTGAAACCAGGCAGGGTGGTTCCCAACAGACCATGGTTTGAGAGTCACTACACTTCACTGCATAGTAAGCTGCTTATGATTCCAGGTTCCTGAAACTAGAAGACTGAATCTCTTGTCCCTTGGGCCCCATGAAATGGGATGAGTCTCTGTAGTTCTCCATCGGCTCAAACCATTGCTTAAGAGTTCCCTGATCGTTCAGTTTCATCTCAGGATCAACTCCCCTCACACCTCCCCAACCCCTGCTCTCCACAGGCCCGGGCTGTCTCCAGGTCTCCTTAATTACCTACTTGCCCAGATTCATTTCTTTAATTTTCTCCTTGTTATGGGCAGATTTACAGGCTGTTTGAGGGAGCTACACATCACTGAAGTACGGGAAAGAGGCCTCTGGCTCAGCCATCTTACAGCCTTTGATAAGCAAACTCCCAGGGTGCCTGGCTAGCCAGCCCCCTTCTCTCTTGGGCTCCTGAGGGTGGACCTGCAGCCCCCCTGCACCCTGCCTACTCTATGCGCTGCCTGCCTCTGGCGCTGCCCTTATCTACTCCTCGCAGCCTTCACAGGATACATTCCGGGCGGCTTGGCTCCTTCTGCCTCCAACCCCCCCAACACTGATTTCTTCCCTTTGCTCCTGTGTGTTTTCAAGCCAATACTTTGTTGGTGATTCCGGTTGTACTTTTGAGGAGGGAGATAATCTATGTTCTTCTGTAGGGCCCTCCCTGCGCCTGCGTGACAATCCCTCTTCTTCCTTTCCAGCTCCTTTGAAGTACGTTTCCTGAAATTGTTACCAGACAGGGGGCCTGGCCCTGAGCGGGTCTACCCAGGGCCAGCTGTAGCATGTGGGTTCTTGACTTTGTGCAGGAAAGCTTTCACAACACGAGTCCAGGTGGCTGTTCGGATGAGTTTATTAAAGCTGGGGACAGCGAGTGACACAAGGAGGGGCTGAGCATGAAATTAGTCAGGAGAGCATGGGCGGGGCTGCCTTGGCTCACTTGGAAGTCAGAACAGGGGGCCTTGGGGACAGGTTCAGGGGATGAGCCTGGGACAAGCTGCCAGCCGCCCACTGCCTTAGAGTTTAGGAGACACGTGCCTGTGAAGATGTAGGGGAAGAAGGGAATGGTGCAGTGCTCCCCAGAGGGAGATCATGCACTTGGTACCTTTGTCTTGAGGCTTTTATCTCTCTCATGCAGGTGGGAATCTTAGGGGAGGTCTCAGGGGAGGGCTCCAGCAGAACATGCCTCAGTTCTCCAGGTGTGGCCCTTTCAGGGTCCTGGTCTCCACTGATTGGTCAGTGACAGGCAGATTAGTCATGGCACCTGGTTCTGGCCTAGCCCACCTGGTTTTGCTGCTTTTCTGGGCCTGGAGCTGAAAACAGTTGAGGCCTGGATGTTGTCTCCGGAGAGGCAAGGTTACCTGGGGGCGAGGTCCTTGTTTTCCCAGTTTTGCCCCCTGCAGGCCTTCTGCCCCAGCGACCATCTGCACCTGTCTGCACCTGGCTGTGCATTGCTCAGCCACTTTGTTCAGCCGTCCGTCTGTTTCCGGATTCCGCTTGCCAAGGAATTTTCCCAGCTTTTTACTATCCTGTCTCAAAATGAGATAAAGGCTGTACAGAAACTAGTTCCCGAAACACTGCTTTGCCCAGAGAGGGTTAAAAACTGGGATGGAAAACTGGGGAGACATCTTAAAGCCAGAGGTGAAAGGAACAAGCGGATTTACTCCATCATCAGGTGAGACTCTAAAACCCAGCCAAGCATCATGAGGCAGGGCCAGAAGTTGACTTCCAGGAAACGGTTACAGAGCTTTTAAAAAAAAAAAAAAAAGAAAAAAGAAAATCTGGGGGACAACTGTTGGGAAACTGAGCCAATCACAGAAAACGTTTTAATGTGTCTTAGTCATCCCTGCTCTCAGCCAGGATTCCTGGGAAGGCAGGCTGTCCTAGATAGATGTTGCCTTTTCTATTAACCCATCAGTGATGGGGGCTGCAGGCTGAGGCCTGGCTCACCCCCAGGGCCCAGCAAGCCGTGGCTTGTCAGTGGAAATGAAACTTTTGACCAGCTGGGTGTGTAGCACTTGCTTCCTGCCTGCCTTTACTGCCAACGCTGAGACCCACGGACCCCCCCGCAGGTAGACAGGGGTTGGCATGGGTCCTAGAAAGGTCGTGCTATAGGCAAGGCTGAACCAGAAGGCTTTGACATCTGAAAGGTAAGCAATCATAAGCTGGGATGCTGCAGGGGAGCGGAAATAGTAGCCGCCACAATCCAGTCCTGTAAGTCCCTTTGCTTAAGGCTGCTTTCCCAGGCAGAGCTGCCGCTTGGAGGCAGGACCCTTCTGCCAACTCCCTCCACGAGGATTAGACAAGTTGGAGTGCTGGTTCCCCTCATAGCCCACTCCTCTCCCTGAGTTCTCTTGAGGCTTGAAGCAGTGACTTCTGACCCGGGGTTGGTGACCGATGGTGATGGAAAGCTGATTGATGGGATAGAAAGGGCATGGGTGCATTCCTAGCTGTGCAACCTTTTGAGCAAAATCTTTATTCTCAGTTCCCATTCTTCAAATGAGGTGACAAATACCCACTTCATAGAGCCGCGATGGTGACTAAATGAGATAAAAATGTAATAATGGCAGCTCATTCCATTTTCCTCTCTTCTTCCCTCACCTGCCCACCCTCCTTACGAATACGGCAGCGCTGAATTGTGAGATTTCCTTCTCTTTGCCTCACAGAGGATTCCGGTCTATGACAGTGTAAAGACCAAGAAACGAGGACACAGACTAGTACCCGTGGATTAAGCACGTTAATTCCAAAGATGCCCTCCTTACATTTCTGTCCGCTGGTTATTTAATCAAATAGGAATTTAGGTACTGCTGTGAAGAGGCCCTGTAGCTGCACTGAAGGTAATGGACTGTGAGACAGACGACCACCCTGGATTACCTGGTGGGCACAATATAATCACTTGAGCCCTTAAAAACGGAACTTCTTGCCTTGACCGGGGTGGGGCTCGGTTGGAGCATCATCCCACATGCCAAAGCACTGTGGGTTCGATCCCCATTCAGGGCACATATCTGGGTTGCAAATTCAATCCTCAGTTGGGGCATGTGTAGGAAGGCAAGCGATTGATGTTTCTCTCACTCCCTTCCTTTGTCTCTAAAATCAATGAACATACCCTCAGGTGAGAATTAAAAATAAATAAACAAAACAGAAACTCTCTGGTAGGAGTTAGAGAGATGAGACAGAAGAGGAAGTCAGAGTCCAAACGTGAGAAAGACTGGACCAGCCATTGCTGGTTTTGAAGATGGAGGCGGGGGCCCCTGGAAGCTGAGGCTGACTTCTGGCCAACAGCCAGCAGAGAAACGAAGACCTTACCACCAAGGAACAATGTGGCCAACAACACGAAACTGAGAAGTGGATTCATCCCCCAGAGCCCCCGGAAAGGAGAACAACTGTGCCAGCACCTTCCTTTTGGCCTTGTGAAACCCGAAACAAAGAAACCAGCTGAGCCAGCTTGGACTTCTGACCTACAGAGCTGAGACAATAAATAAATGGGCATTGTTTTAGCCACTACATTTGTGACAATTTGTTATGGCAGTTAATACAAACTAATATGATAGGCTGCAAAGACCCCTTTAAAAAAAAAAGATTTTATTTATTTATCTTTGGGGGAAGGGAAGGAGGGAGAGAAATATCAATGTATGGTTGCCTCTTGTGTGTCCCCTGCTGGGAACTGGCCTGCAACCCGGGCACGTGCCCTGACTGGGAATCAAACCCGATCCTTTGGTTCGCAGGTCTGCGCTCAATCCACTGAGCAACACCACCCAGGGCCTGTCAAGACCCTTAATAACCCTGGGAGGGAGGCACTACTGCAGCCCCCACTGCATGGACGAGGAGACTGACGCGCAGTGAAAAGGCGGAGAAGCGCGCAGGCACGAGCGTGAAGAACGGCCGCACGCGGTGGGGGTGTGTGCATCAAGTTTATTTGCAGGTGAACAGCACAACATTGACAAAACACACTACGCACAGAGAGGCCGGCACTGCCCTCACACCCTGGGGGCCGAGGAAGACCTAGTCCTCCCAGCAGCCACAAACAGTCCCTGATAATGGGTTTACGGAAAACACTTTCTCTTCCGTCAGCAGGCAAAATTATTTATGAAGCTGTACATTCAGCAATAGGGAGCAAAAGAAAAAAATTACTTCAAGGAACACGAGAACTTCTTTCCTGGTGGGATCCATCATTTTACAGACATGAAATATTCATATCAGAGATCTTATATTTCAAAGGAATGGGTTACATATCAGAGCCACAAAAACAAAGTTTTTTTTTTAAATTACCAACAGGGAATTAGAAAACTCTCTGGACACCAGTTTTGGCCCAGACTTTTGGAGATCAGGGTCAGTGTGCCCGCCCTCTCTAACCCTCAATGTCACATTTCCATCCACTCCCTGCCTCCGAATTCCCCGCCAATGCTCCCACTCCGGCCTTCGAGAGCTGCCCACGGACTGTTCAGTCTCATCGCAGGTCTCTAAGTACTCACCTTCTACTTAAGGGTCTCACTCTTGGCCTTTATGAACACAGGGTTTTAGAGAAACAAATTCAGGGAAACCATCTACTCAGAGCCCAGCTGCTCTGTGCCCCCAGCTCTAAGCCGACAGCCCCAGCACAAGGACTAGGACTGATAAATAATGAATCAGCATCTTGCTCAATTGGTGGCATTTAAAATTCTTTTCAGGTGAAAAATTACCACAATTTTGTGCTCATGGCAGATTTCAAAGGGAGACGCGAAGCAGAAAATCTTTAAGGGACCTCTGCACAGCCAGAAGTCCTTTTCAGGCTGAAGTACATAAAATATTTAGCAACCAGGACTGTAGAAGGACTAAAGAGGAGATCCCAGGGCCGGGAGAAAGGCCACTTCTTAAGCTTATCCTCCGGGTCCGGTGGAGACAGGATCTGTGTATGAGACACACATGGCTGGTGGCAATCAGCAGCCGCTCTGGGTGGGCTGGGAGACCAGGTAGGAGTCCAGCTCCTGGCACTGGTAGAGGGCCACGCTGTCCAATACCCACTCTCGGGTCACGACAGGTACCTCACACATCTGCCCAATCACTGAGGACAGAGAACACAAGCAAAGACTAGTGTCAATTCACATTCTACCAGAGTCTAGTCAGTCCAGGCCGGGAACCTGCTTGCATGGGTTCTCCCAGTTCCTGAGGTAGGAGCACGAGTGTTGATTTTAAGCGATGCTTCAGGACACAGGACCTTACTTAGGAGCCTGAGGAGTGACTGCTGGCGAAAGCCTACAGCTTCTGACAACTTTATGAACATAAGTTCCAGCCTGTTACAGGAAAAGTCATCAGAGAGAGCAAAGGGGCATGGAAATTTGACAATGGGGAAAACATATTTGCAATATCTTAATGCCACCCAATGGAAATAGTTCATGCATTACTTTCATAATGCAAAATAAACCAACAAACAAAAAGTTTAAAAGGATATTTTAGTCACTCATTCATTCATTCCACAAATACTTGTTGAGCACCTCAGATGTGCTGAGAACTGTAAGCACCAGGTGACCTGTGGTGACACAGAACTCCACGTGACAGAGGCACGTGCTTGCGGCCGTCTGAAGCCCAGCACAGGTGCGCCATGCGCCCGAGCTGATCTGAGTGCGACACCTGGGCCCGGAAACGCCGCAGTGATCTGCACTCCTCACCCGGGCTCTCCAGCCCGCACTCCCCTTGACGAAAGGTTTCACATCAAGACTTACCGTGGGAGCCGCTGTCCTCTGTCCAGGCATCCAGCTGCATGACCACAACCTGGTGAGTGCCCTGTGTCCCCAGGGAGGAAACAACATCGAGGATATCAGAACAGGACTTTGGGAACAGCCGCTTCGCCACTCCTTGGCGACGTGCCGACGCAGGCTGCTCTGGGGCAACCACACAGAGGAAGGGGAAGGGCACACTGGAGGTGAAGAGCCTTCCCTCCGGGTATTCAACACAGGTTCTAGATCTCAGGTCCTTGCTGGCCCCTTACAGATGGAGACTGTTAGCAGATATGTGGTCAGACAAGGCCTGGGCGAAGAGAAGCTTCTTGGGCTACGCTGGGGCGTGAAGGGGCAGTTCACAGGGACTGAGGGGGCCACCTTGCTCAGTCACCAGACAGAACACTGTGCCCTCCCCCCTGACAGGGCACCCGGTGCTCACCTCGCCGGCAGTGAACGCTGAGGGCTCCTTCACCACGACAGCCCCACAAAGCTGCACCATCCGCTCTAGTTGATCTAAAGAGGCGTTTAGACAGAAAATCACCAGTCGCCCACACATTTAACCCGGGCTCTGTACCCCACACTCCTGTCAGTGAAGACTTTCAGCAAGACTTCTCGGTGGGAGCCCCTGTCTCTTCACCCCAAAGGGACAGAACGGCTTTCAAGTAGAGGGGTATGGATTCTAAGTTAATTTGTCACTGAAATGCTACCTATTCTGATTATCAGTCCCCATAAGGCCACTTGGTAGATAAGGTTTAATAGTTTCTCAATTAAAACAAGAAAAAATCTAATTTCCATTAATTTGCTAAACTGCTAGCTAAGATACTGTGTAAAAAACACCCGCCTTCCCTACCTCCTCGCCTAATTCTATGCTGGTAACTGATAATCACGGTCACTGCGAGCACCATATTCGGTGGTAATTACTGTAAATGTCAAGAGATGGGAAAAGTTCCTTAAAAAAATAAAGAAAAAGAAAATCCGTCATCCGAGACAGAGACGCAGCACACCAGCGGGAAAGGCTGCCTGGTGAGCTGGTTCTGCAACGTGGGGGGCAGGAGCCGTGGGAGGTTGCCTGGGGGTTTCACTGGGACCTGGAAAACGGGGAGGGCTGACCCATGGGTGGCTTCCAGACGCCTTTGGGTGCTCTTTTCTAGCAACCTATTTCTGGAGACTGCTGAGGTGCTCCTCTTTGTCTGAATATATTGAGGTCAGCTGACTCACCGCCAAAATGACACCCACTAGAGGCGCTGGTTTTCACTGCGCCGAGGTGCAGAGACACTGAGGGATCTATGGGCGGCATGTGGAAGTTTCACGGAAGCTCACTCGGTAACCAATAAAGAGGACGTAAGCAAAATGACTCTGCCAGGCTCTCTCGCTGCCGGCCACCTACCCGGACAGCGAGGCCCTCTTCTGAGAGTAAGAGGACCAGCCCCTCGGGCGGAAGTGCGGGCAGAGGTAGAGGCCGTCTGTCGGCCTTCATTTTGGAAACAATGAACCAGATGCACACGTACACCGGGGCCTCAGCACACACGGCTCCACAGGGCCCTGCGGCACTCCCAAACGGAGTGTCGCATTCAGCGTCAGACGTGATGACAAAACCGTTCATCGAGTCTCCCCTGCTCTGGGCCCGAACCGGGAGCCCAGGTTCCCAGGGCTCGTGCAGCTGCTGAGCTCTCCTCCCTCTCAAATGGAGATGGTTTAGGAAGAACAGAATTCTCTCCCTGACTTCTTTCTCCCCCTTTCTTAGACCAAAGAGCAGGTAAGAGCAGTTCTACCCGATCTGAACACAGAACACACTGTGTCCTAGATGTTAATTCTTCACTGCCTTCTAGCTCTTGAGAAGGGGCGCAGGGATGTTTTTTTTTTTTTTTAAATACCGTAACATTTAGGTGCAGTTTTGTCTGACAGGTGATAGAGAAGTAGACTAACCTCTCACCCGTCTGAGGAACCCCCATAAGACGACCCTTCCTGTAACAGTCCACTACGTAAGGAAAAGGCTGGTGCTGGCCGCTGCAGTTCTCCCAGTCTCTTACCTGTGGGCATGTTGGTAAAGGGCCCATAGCAACAGATTTCTAGGCCCCTGAAGATCTGGGAGAAGAGGGGAACAGAGGGATAGAGAAAACAAACAAAAACACTAGTTACAAGAGTGTGTTTTGTAAAAAACAATGTAGAGACTGTTAGAAAATAAGAACCTCCTTTTTTGTTTACCATCTGACAATTTCTACTGCTCCTTCCCAGACTCAGTCCAATGCCCAGAGCACCGGTGTGATTCAGGAGACGCTTCTGAAGTGTGAATTCAGCCAGTGTACTCTACAGCCATGCTTTGTCATCCAAGGGCTGAGCACCACCTTGCCACCAGTCAGGCCCAGATTCCTCCCTGATAACCCTTTCCAGGTGGCTCCACTTCTTGTTAGAGATGAGAGGGGGAGAAAGTCCTTATTTTGCTTAATGCAAGTAATCCAGCTTTTAGCTGAGGTCTGATGTTTATGCCAACTTGGTGCATCAGTATTAACCACCCATGACTCTAACTGGCAGAGGGCCTACGCTGACTGTAGATGTACATCCTCCTTTTCTCCTGGTCTCGGAGCACCTGCTCCTGCCTTCACGCTGCTCTGAGAATGTCCACTGTTCCTTTGGGAACAACAAAGTGAAGCCTGGTCCTGCCTCTCCTCACTCAGCTGACTTGCCCGCCCGGTTTCCGGGAGACACAGGTCAGCCCGCACCTCCCGGGGGCCTCTTCCACTTGCAGTGCATCCAAAAGAACGTCCTCTGATGATGGAAATGTTCTATATTTGTATTAATAAGGTAGCTATGAGTCACATGCAGCTGCGGAGCACCTAAACTGTGGCTGAGATGAGAAACTAAGCTTCATGTTTTATTTTAGTTACTTCCAACTGGAACGGCCCACGTGGCTGGTGGCCACTGTGCTGGACAGACACACTCGTACCCCCGCACTGGCACCGGTTCTTAGGGAAGGACTGGGGTGTCATGTCAAAGAAGAAACCTGAATTTGTGTCAGTTGGCTGGACACAGATCATCTGAGTAACCCTCATTTCCTTCCTTCTCCCCATTCCACTAAAGAGAAAATTCCTTAGGCCTAGAACTCGCCTCGCTTCAAATATAAGACTGAGATAGAGGAAAAAAAATCAGGAAGCCAAAAGCATATGCCTACCTTTTAGGAAGTATCCCCCCAGCCCCCATTTTAATTACAGCCAGAGGACAGAGGAATGAGAAAGGAGGGTAAAACAGATCCATTTCTGTTTTAAGTGACAGCCCCTGCCCGTGCCGTTCTCACTGTACGAACAGACTGAACCCCCGACCTGTTAACGGGACCCAGATGCTCATGATGCTAAACGCTCTCCCTGGGCAGCCTGCTGAAGCCCAGTGTTACTGTAAAAGATTAGAATTTTCCTCCACCCAGGCTGACGGAAAAAAATGGAGGAGTATGTTTAGTTATGAGAAATGTGAACTTTCACTTCTACAAATACATTTCTTTCCCATGGGAAGATACTAGGTGATTATTTTGTATTTTCACAATGTTGTGACGTTGACTGGCCCTTTCCATCACTGCCACCCCAAATGCAGGAAAACACCCCTGAACACTGAGACTTCCTTTGAAGGAGGGGAAAATCTGGTGCTAATTCTGCCTTGCATACAGTGGAACAGAAGCAAAGGCTGCTTGCAGAGCTGCCTGAGTGAAGGCAGACGCAGGGCCAGCAGCCTTTCTTGGTGTGTGGAAGTGCCTGGAGAGGTTAAAAAGGGGAGGGCGGGCTGCCCTCAAGGGCTCGGAATTTCAGGGCTTGATCTGTGATCATCTCCCAAAGCAGTTTTCCTTGGAAAAACCACCTCTACTGGTTCTCCCTCAGGTTCTGTAAAGGGACAGAGGGTGCTCCTTGCAGAGATGCTCTGGAATGCCTGGTGGTGCACTTGAAACAGGAAGAAACGCAGACTAGGAAAACGCACACTCCGTCAGGGTAACTGAGAAAGTTACCGGCTCAAGGCCTGACAGGCAGGCGTGAAATCTTGCCTGGACTTCTCCCTGAGAGGAGGACATAATTTTGGCCACATCATTTGCTACAGGATGATCTGGGGAACATTACTTTCTGGTCCTTCATTTTCAAAGGTGTTAGATGAGTCTATCTTCCTCCTTGGTGAAACTTTCTATAATTTAACAGGAGACTGTATTATCGTCATTAAGAGCTCAGATACTGAAGCTAGACTGCCCTGGGTTCAACTCCTAGTTGCGGGTTCACAATTAGCAGTGTGAGCTCAAGCAGCGTGTTCCACCTCCCTGAGCCTCAACGTTCTCATTTATAAAATAGGTACAATTATTGTACACGTCTCAGAGGTTTGCTGTAAAGTTGTTAATCGGTTAAAATACGGTTGAGATTTCGTACTGGCATACACGGAACATTATACAGGTGTTAGCTATCAATGATCGATCACCCTCTCTTCCACGCACCCACCGACAGCACCGGGCACACCCCCTCTACAGCGCCCACCACAGGGCTTTAGAGAAGGACGCTACGGTGACGTGGGAAGAGCAAAGGCTTAGAGCAAAGCCTGTTTCAAATCCCAGCTCTGCCATGTATCAGCTGAGAGTTAAACCCCAAGACTGGACCAAATTACATTGCTTTTCTAAACCATTCATAAAATGGATATAACACTTACCTTGTTGGCTAGAACCAAAAACAAAACAAAACAAAAAAACCTACCTATATGGAAGCACCTAGCAATACATAATGCCCCTTAAAAGATGAATTAAGGGGGCTGAAATGCATGGAAGAGGTGGACTTTACCTTTCAGGTTTTATTTATTTTTAGAGAGGGGGAGGGAGAAAGAAAGGGAGGGAAACATCAATGTGTGGTTGCCTCTTGAGCACCCCTACTGGGGACCTGGCCTGCCACCCAGGCACGTGCCCTGACTGAGAATTGAACAGGGGACCCTTTGGTTCACAGGCCAGTACTCAATCCACTGAACCGCACCAGCCAGGGCGGCTTACCTTTCTGTCCTGGGATTCTCTTGCTCGCTTCGGACCTTGGTGGTTCCTTCCATTGATAACGTCTCCTCTGACTTCAAAATCACGCTGAAAGAAACCAAACCCAAACCACAGGGATCAAAGAGAACTCTTCGTCAATGGAGGCAGAGTCAATACGTCCTATATAAGGAGCTGAGCATCGCCGGACCACGTTTTGGCCGCCTCCCCTAAATCACAGGTTTTGGTGGACTGGATAAAACGACCAGCATCTCAGATGCTGAAATCAATTCCCTGAAGCAAACCTTTGTGGGCAGAAATTAACAACTGGTTTTGCACCTTAGTGGGACTTACTATATTTTAGTTTTGAACATGTACCTCCTCTCAAAACATTCACTTAGCATTTAGATTAAACTGCTGATACTGTGCTGTTATAAAGATTAACTGGAGAATTCCTGCCCTCTTAAATCAAGTGTGTATTACCATCTAAGGGCTTCTCAGATTTTCATTGAGAGATTTAGTTAATGAAACCAAAACGATAAAATACATTTAATACACTGAAGAAAAAGGTTTCTCCTAATCGCTATTTTGACTGATCAAGGACAAGGATAATGGGATTGGGGAGGTCAAGGCTTTTGGGGGAAATGTGGGGAAGGATGCTCAGAAACAATCCCAACTAAAACTCAGAATGTAGGGGAAGATCACGGCTGTTGCCAAGAGCATTACAAAATAAAGTCATGCTGGTGTAACCACAGGCTGACAGCAGGGGAAAGACTATGTAACGCTTCCTAGTCACTTAAGAGAGGAGTCTAATGATAAGTATGCCATCTATTTGGAGACGTCGCTCACATTTATAGGTTTGATTGTACCTCTGTCCCTACTTAACCCCTACCAGATGTCTAGTATAAATTCCCACATCTATGCATCTAAAATGGAGCCTTCTTTTTTTAAAAATTGGTTTATTATTTAAAAAAAAAAGATTTTATTTACTAATTTTTAGAGAGGGGCAGGGAGGGAGAAAGAGAGGAAGAGAAACATCAGTGTGTGGCTGCCTCTCCTGAGCCCCACACTGGGGACCTGGACCACAACCCAGGCATGTGCCCTGACTGACGACCGAACTGGTGACCCTTTGGTTCACAGGCCAGCGCTCAATTCACTGAGCCACACCAGCCAAGGGCTGAAAATTGGTTTTATTATTGATGTAATTTAAAACAGAGCTCTTGATTCTAACCCCCCTCCCATTATTAATACTACTAACATCCATCCCCTGGTCCACCCTCTCCATTCCTTCCCTTCACCTCATCTCTCAAATCTCACCCATTCATCAGTCCTACCTCCAAATGTACCTCAAACCCTCTCCTCACCACCTCCACGTCTCCAATTACCCTAACACCGAAAACTCAAATTCCTTGTTTTACACCAAATCCTACCTGATCTGGCCCTTGTCTCTAACCTTCTCCAATTCTTTGTCTAACCTCTGCTCCCTACATATTACTCACCAATTACTACCTCCCAGCTACAACTCTATTTTTCTTTAACAAACAAGCTCATTTCTACTTCATGACCTTTAGGCTTGCCGTTCCTCTGTCTACACTTTGCTACCTGTGTTTTTCAAGGCCACTTCTTTCTTGTATTTTAGGTTACAGCTGAGGCATTTCAGAAGCCAAACCTGGTTCTCCTGAACTAAAGTAGTCATTATCTGCCTCCAGTCAGTTACTAACCTATTTATAGCATTTATTAATATCTTAAATGTTCTTTATCATTTCGAGTTCTCCCTCAACAGAACGGCAATATGACCAGACTACGGACCTGCGGGTCTTGTTTACCACTGTATGTATTCCTGGTGCTCAGCACGTAGCAGGCTTCCAATAGCATAAGCCATGGAATGAAAGTCAAAACAAAAATGTCACTTAGTTAACTATGAATATACCGAATAGCACACAACAGTTTAAAACTTCCTGCTGGTTTTATCTTCCTTGTTCTGTTGCCATCAGCAGCTCTGACGGCTCTGTTCTAAAATTACCCCCCTCCTCCACTCACCTTATCACCTCTCACTGTTCTGTCTCATAGAGTAACAGCTCTTTGAAGGAATCTGATTTCTAAACACATAGATTTGCGTATCAATTCTTAACCCTTTTTTTTTGCGGGGGGGGGGGGGAGGGGTGATTTTAAAATTTATTTTTAGAGAGAGGACAAAGGGGGAAGAAAGAGAGAGGAGAAACATCGATCGCTGCCCTTTGCAGGCGCCCAGACCAGGGACTGAACCTGCAACCCAGGCATGTGCCTTGACTGGGAATCAAACTGGCGACCTTTTAGTTTGCGGGACGATGACCAACCAACCGAGCTGCACCGGTCAGGGCTGCTCTGCATAACTCTGGATGACTCCCACCATCAAGGGAGATCTGTGGCGCGTTGTGCAAGGAAGGAAGCAGCTAAATTTTCAGTGTTTGTGTGACTCGATGGTGTCAAGTCTTTCTGATTCGTTTGTAACATCGAGTACCTACCTCATCTAGAATCTTTCTTTCTTTAACAGACTGGGTCACCCCTAAAGAGATCACAGAAGAGACAGGTCACGATGCAGAAGAACATGCTCTTTTCATGGAGGTGGACAATGAAGCGATTCACAGGAGAGCTTGGGAGGAATAACACCGAGCAGAGGCCCCTCTGAGTAGAGAGCCACAGCTCGTTAATAAGACTCGTGGCAGAGATTTCCTTCTGGAGACACAGCTGATGCTTAATCCAAACATTGTAACAGTGCCTGATGCAGGCAAATTTCTGCCTATTATTAAATAAATCCCTCCTTCCCATGTTAACCCCAGCGTTGCTAGGAGCAGATTAGGTCCTATTAGTTATAAAAAGAACTCCATTTTCCCAACAGTACTAGCTTATCTGAACAAAGAGATATGTGTTAAAGATAAGGCTAGTTTAGTGTTACCTAGTGTTATCTAAAGACCTTTTGGTAATTCTGATTCAGTACCAGCAAAAAAAAATCCCAACAAACCCTTAGGTGTTAAAATGTTAGGTGTAAAAATGCAATTCTGAGGTGTTAAAGGGAGGAGGGGAGAAATACACTGTACTTACAGAAATAGCTAACTACCCATTTTCCTCCTGCAATTCCCAGAAAATATTTCAGTGTCCGTTCACATACAAACTCAGCATCTGCAGAATGAAAAATATCCAAAGGATTAGTAGAAGCTGAAAACAAAGTCAGGAAGTGCTGCTCTAACAAGCTAAAGAGCTCCAGCTCCATCTACAACTTGAAATCAATCTGGATCGATGATTCCAATACCCTGGTGATAGAATCAGAGGCTGGAAGCACCTCTCATTATAGCCAGCATGTGTGGGATCTTTGGAAGCTGGAAAAGACTGATACGGAATTAAAACCAGAGAAAATGTCTGCCCTGCCTTCCAGATGCCAAGACTAGCTAGCGACATCCGCTCCTGTGTATCCACATTGTAGTACTGATGCACGTGGATGGGGAAGATCTATTTTACTGGATGGCAAAATGTGAGCAAAGAGTACTGTTGAAATCCTATATCTTACATGTCAATGTAAGTGACCAATTTTCACCCCCAGATTTCTACCTGGGGAATCCTAGTCCCCTAGTTCCCCTGATAAAGACAGAAAAATACAGAATATTTTTTAAGATTTTTATTTATTTATCTTTAGATGGGAAGGGAAGGAGAGAGGGAGAGAAATATCAGTGTATGGTTGCTTCTCACGCACCCCCTGCTGGAAACTGGCCTGTAACCCAGGCATGTGCCCTGACTGGGAATTAAACCGAGGTCCTTTGGTTCACAGGCCAGCACTCAATCCACTGAGCTATACCAGCCAGGTCCAGAATATCTTTTTTAAAGATTTTATTCATTTATCTTTAGAGGGGAAGGGAAGGGGGGAGAGAAATATCAATGTATGGTTGCCTCTCATTCGTCCTCTGATGGGAATTGGTTTGCAACCCAGGCACGTGCCCTGACTTGTTGGGAACCTTACACCTGGCTTCTAGCTAAAAACATTGCGTTGATTACAGGAACCTGTGCGCTCCACAAGCCAATCGGCTAGAGGCACATGAAGTGTCCACGAGTACCAGCTGCACCCAAGTAACCAATAAGCGGGCCCTTCTTTGTCTCAAGCTAGCCAATAGCAAGCAACCTAATCTCTCCCTCCTCCCCTATATATATACCCAGTTCGGAAAAATAAAGTTTGCAGCTTGATCAGAATCTTTTGTCTTGCTGCCATTCTTTGCACCTCTTGTCCCCCCAACCCATTTGTTCTAGGTAGGTGGTCGAGCTCCAGTTGACTGCTCCATGGGCCAGAGCACTGACTGGGAATCGAACTGCGATCCTCTGGTTCGCAGGCTCGTGCTCAACCCACTAAGCTACACCAGTCAGGGCCAAAAATACACAGTATTTTCATGGTTTTTCTCCTTTCAACCTAAGTATTTCAGAAAGCAGTAGGTGAAGAATCACTTAGTTTCTAGTGTTTCAAAAACCCCTTTGGAGAGTAAGCAAACTGAGGAAAGAAATGTATTTAACCAAATCCTAAACACAGCAGTTCTCCTGCCAGTGGCAGCTACAGCCGGTTACTCATGGAATTCTTCACAAATTCTTAAAATCTTATTTTATTCATCACAGCTTTAGAGCTTTTTGTTTAACTGCTGCAAAAGTTGATTTTTTAAAGATTTTATTTAGCTTTAGAGGGGAAGGAAAGGAGAGAGGGAGGGAAATATCAATGTATGGTTGCCTTTCATGTGTCCCCCACTTGGAACTGGCCTGCAAACCAGGCATGTGCCCTGACTGGGAATCGATCCTCTGGTTTGCAGGCCCTTGCTCAATCCACTGAGCTACACCAGCCAGGGCTGCAAAAGTTGATTTAAAAAAAAGAGTTTATTTATTTATTTATTTTTAGAGAGAGGGGAGGGAAAAAGAGTAGAGAAACAGCAATGTGAGAGAGACAGTGATTGGCTGCCTCTCAAGTGCCCCCAGCTGGGGACCAGGCCCGCCACCCAGGCACGTGCCCTGACCAGGAATCAAACCCGTGACCTTTCTGTTCACAGGCTGATGCTCAATCCACTGAGCCACATAAGCCAGGGCAAAAGTTGATTTAATAATATAATTTAAACTCAGAAGTTTTAGGTCATTTCTAGTTCAGAAGTTATATTGCTTTTGAGTTTAAAGATTAATTACTTCAGATTTAATTTACATTTTAAAGTTTCCTTTTCACCTTCCAGCAGCTTTGATGAAAACCTATAGCTTAAGATACATTAAACTTCAATGACATTCATCTCTAAAACAGTACCTGGTTCAAAGTACCTTGTTCTGGCATTTGGTTCCTGTATTTACCCTCTGACCCTGTGGTATGATCCATATACAGTAGAAATCGAACATCTTAGAGGTTCTAAGGCAATGTGTCCCTGGCAAGGAGTCTGGACCCTGTACTCGAGGACCTGCAGCGACGTGAACAGAGCGGACCACTGTGTTTCCTGAGAGCCAATTTTGCCAGAAAGCTTTTCAGAGCTGTCTCCCCCGTGTGCTGCAGGCACTGGTTTTTGCTTCCTGGAGCCCATGAACAAGTCTGCCTCCTCTTCCAGATAACTCTTCAAATACTTGAAGACAGGGGTCTTGTCCCCTTAAATCTCCTCATTCCTCCATCTGTTCTTCAAATAACGTCGTTCTGAATTCTCTCTCCCATCCTCACACCTACTTCTGGAAAAACGCTCTCTAACATTGTCAGTGACCAGCTTAAAAAGAAGGCATGGTGCTAAAAACAGAGTTCATGTCTTCCAGGCAGGCGCTCCAGCACAGAATACAGTAGGGGGGGTCAGGACTTTTACTTTAGTTGTTCCAGACACAAGGCCTGTATTAATGAGGCCCAATTTCAAACAAGCTTTTTAGCAGCCCCGTAATGTTTACTCAGGTTTAGCTCACAGTCAGCTAAAAGCCTTTCAGGTCCCCGTGATCACGGGAGTCCTGATTACGATTTTAAAAGGGGAAGGTGTAGGACAAATAAACTTTTTCTCCTGTTTCTCCTTTTTCACACGCTAGGCTATCTCAGAGCTGACACAGGCCTCGTTTCCTGAAAAACCGTCAACCACCCTCAAACTAGTGTTTGCGTGAAGCTAGGACGTGGCGTCGACAGGGGCTGGGGTTTCCAACCACCCAGATTCTGAATAAAGACACACTTGTGTCCCATTCTCCTCTTCGCCCCGTCTGTCCCTCGGGGACTTGAACTCTGCCTTAGGAGAAAGCCCCTCCCACAGAGCAGTCCGGGCAGGGTGGACTAACAGAAGTGGTCCGTTGTTATGGCTCACCGCTCTCCACATCTTTTTTTTTTAATTAATTTATTTTTTATCCTTATCTGAGGACATGCTTATTGATTTTAGAAAGAGGAAAAGGGAGGGAGAGAAACATTGATATGAAAGAGAAACACTGATATGAAAGAGAAACATGGATCGGCTGCCTCTCGTATGCACCCCAACTGGGGACTGAACCAGTAACCTAGGTAGGTGCCTCAACCAGAGATCAAAGCCCGTCTGCCACCTTTCAGTTTACAGGACAGTGCTCCAACGAAGTGAGCCGCCCTGGCCAGGGCGGCCACTCTCAATCCTTCACCCAAAACAAAAAAGGGTTGGGAAATAGCAACACTAATGTTCCTTTCACAAAATAATAATTGACAGACTAATGGAAGACTTTTGCCCGCGCTGTGCCTCAGACACTCCCCTTTCTTCGCGGAGTTCTATGCACCGGGGCAACACATGCTACGCAGGTCCCTGGCGTACCTGTTTTCATAATGACGTGCGTGGTCTCTTCAGTAATTAGATCAGTGACAGCGATGCGGTGTTTTCTGGCGAACTTGTGCACAAGCATCTGAAATCAAATAAAAGATTACATGATTATAAATCACCTCTAGTGCACAGCTTAGAGCATTAGTTATCCTAGCTTTGAATCTCCATTTTTTTCCCCTCAGAAAAGGTACATTCTTTTTATTTGAATGTGTCTGGAGTCTCAAGGTAAATACCAATTTAATACAAATTATCTATAAATCAGAGGAAGAAATTCTATAGTAGTTCATGCTAGCAGACATGAACTATAACCAAGGATTCAAAATAATATTAATATTCCCTTTCACAGCAGATGTCAAGGGGCTCCCTTGCAGAATGATACTCTACAATACCCTAATTTAGATTTATCAGCTTACACTACGTAAGTGGAGAGGTAACTAGCCTACACAAAGTTATTCTACAGATATGTGTATTAAAGACAAGATACAATCCTCTGATAGTTATAAGACATTGAAGTCAAGAGTACAAAAAGTCTCAATTCCTCTTAAGGAGAACTGGAAGAGATTTATATTATTCCAAAAAGAAATCTAGAGCCATCTAGCTATTATCTATCAACACCCAACCCCCCCCCAAAAGCAGATAATTAGCCAGATCCATTATGGGCACAGTTGACGTAGTCAGTAGCTCCTGTTTGGTAAATAACACTGTCTACCAAGTATCATTCATTAGCTATTGCCACCCACGCCAATATTTACCCACTGCACAACGCTGCAATGGAGATCAGGCCATCTTTCTTTCATGCCACCTCCTTCCCTATTGCCACCGGGCACCACAAAGACAGGCACCAGAAGCTAATGACATCCTCCTCACTTTTGCCATTGCCCTCTGCCAGGATCATTAGCAATTCTGAACTGATTAATTGCTGAAATCCCAGCCTTGAAACAGTGTTCAGTTAGAAGAGCAACTGCTGAAAAGATCATCTTAATATGGGCTTCAGAATTAATCACATGTAATACAGTCAGCAGCTTTCATAATAAATTTACCACACTTCAGCAAGTCTGAATGGAGCTGAAGTTTTCCTCTTTGCTTGTTTAAAGACAGTATGTACCCAAGCCACTTATAGTCTGATCTGTGGCTCAGAGTTGCCCATGGCAAGAGAGATTAGCTCATTTTAGCCATTTTTGAGAAGCTGAACTCATGAAACAAGGAATGCTAATTTTCAATGAATAAATGGGAATTCTAGGTGTGTAGGCAGATGATCAAGAGCAACACAGACACAGGTACAAATGTAGAGAGCAAATAGCTGGCCTGGGCACCTGCTTGTGAAATTAGGATTCTAGAACTGCCGATGAGAATTTACTCATCGTACCTTCCAGGGCACAGCTCACTTTGCCCTTTCAGTAGTGGGACACTCTGGCCACCGAGAATGTGATGCTGAGCTGCTGCCCATAGACAAGTGAGGATGAGAAAGAGAAACATTTCTTATCCTAGGAAGGACAGAGCAAGAAAGATTCTAAGAATGACTGGGTCATCTCTCAGTGTGTCATAAATAGTCTACGGCCATACCACCCTGAACACGCCCCATCTCGTCAGTGTGTCATAAATCACACCTACCACTGAATCAATCTGATACTCTAGTGTGTTATCTTGTCATGGTTCTTTAAGATACACTCACCCAATTATTTTATTATGAAGTGATACCAATGGTGATTAGTTACAGGGGAGGTAAGTTTCCTAAGATGTCTGAAATCTACACTCAGTCCAAACAGAAACAATGTTTCATTGGTCTTAATATTTTAATGGGTATTTTCCCACCTTGTGAAACAAATTCCTGTTTCCCCCATGAGGAGACCAAAGACATGTCAAAATCCTAATAGGAAAGAGGGGCCATTGTAGGGCAGAAATGACAGGGCAGGCTATCACACATGTGGGTCACCAGCCAGGACAAAGGCAAGTAAACACTGGAGAACTGTCATTAGCTGGCGGTGAGCTCGGAACCAGTCTGAATTCAGTTAATCATGCCTGCACATGCTCTCAAGATGTGAACCAAGGTGGGGAAAAGACACCTGGGGAGTACAGCTACACCTACTTGCTTTTTAAAACAGAAATAAAACTAAACACTCTATATCACACCCAAAACTATAATCTTTCTAAATATTTAATAGTTATTTCCTTAAGTAAATATATACAAAGTAATCCATGCTATCGTTTTATCTAGGTCCAAAATGTCTGAAATTAGTAATGGAAATTAAATTACATAGAATTTTTTCTATTTCCTAGATTTCTTCCTGTAAGTTATTTACTGCTAAAACTTATTCAAAACCAGTATTTGTAGTACATTAACGCAGTGTTAGTCATCAGCGAAATGCACACAGCTAAACTTACTAATTCTTTTTGGGTCAAGCCTGATGCCACCATTGATATTCTTCTGTTGACTGTTTTTGTTGACGACACTGACACCACGTCTGGCTTCTCCCTGCTCACACTGTCTTCCTTCACATCACACCCAGCAGCATTAGTAGTTTGGGCAGTAGCTGGATTCTTGGCAGATTCTTCAACTTGGAACTGGGGTACTGTCGATGCAGAGGTTGAAGCGGGCGCGCTGCAAACAGGCGCTGGCTCCAGGGCTCTGTCTTCGTAGGGGTCAGACTCGGGGTCATCAAAGAGTCTGACTCCAGATTCCACGGAAGGGGTTCCCTCTGACAGGAATGGGGGAAGAAGTTTAATTTACATGACAATGAATCTTGAATTACTAAGTCTAATCTTTGCTAAGAATTAAAAAGATAGATCAAGCCCCAACTGCTGGCGTGGTTCAGTGGGCAGGGCCTCATTCTGCAAACTGAAAAGTTCACCGGTCCCGTCAGGGCACACGCCTGGGTTGTGGGCCAGGTCCCACGCTTCAGGTGTGCGAGAGGCAACCTATCCATGTTTTTCTCCCCCCTTCCCCCTCTCTAAAAACAAATAAAATCTTCTTTAAAAAAATGGTCAATTTAGATGAAATGAAAAATGGGCGTGCTAATATACTATTGGTGGAGGTGCAATGCAACTTAACTTTTCTAAGGGATTATTTGGCATTATATTTCAAAAGTCTTGTGTGTTTATACTTCCAGGCAATAATGCAAGTTTTAGAAATGTATCCTAAGGGAATAAAAGATGCATGTACAAGTTTAGTCATGGAAATGTTCGCTGTAATATTGTTTACAATGGTAACGTTTTAGAAACACCCTGAATGTCCAGTGATAGATTGGCACAGCTGTTCCAATGGAGCACTCTTCATCCATTACGGTTAATCACGATAGAATAGCAAAATGCACACACCTATGCTCACCGCAGCATTGTTTACAGCAGCCAAGAGTGGAAGCAACCCACATGTCTATCAGTGGATGAATGGATAAATAAAATGTGGTATATACATACAATGGTTTTGCAAAAGCTAAACGAACAGCTTTATAAAAAGAAGAAAATCCAGTCACATGCTATAAACATGGATGAACATTGAGGACATTATGTTAAGTGAAAAAAGTCAGTCACAAAAAGACAAAACTGTACTATTCCACTTATGTGAGGTATTTAAGTATATATATTTATATAAAGATATTTTTATATATAAATACAAAAGTATATTTATATAAATGTAAATTTATATATATAAATATATTTATTTAATCCTTGCCCAAGGATACATTTATTGCTTTTACAGAGAGAGGAAGGGAAAAGGGGATAGAGAGAAACATCAATGTGAGAGAAAGATCACGGGACTGAGCTTGCAACCTGATTGCCAGTATGTACCCTGATTGGGAATTGAACCTGAGACCTTTCAGTGCACAGGACGCTCCAACCACACCGGCCAGGGCCACTCACTCATATGAGGATTTTAAAGTAGCCAAACTCGGGGCAACCAGCAGAATGGTGGTTGCCAGGGGATAGGGCAGGGGGAAATAGGGAGTTGCTATTTAATGGGTAGAGTTTCAGTTTTGCAAAATGAACAAATTCTAGAGAACAGCTGCACCACAGTGATAGTATACTTAATACTACTAGTAAACACTGAAAAGTGGTTAAGATGATCATTTTTTGGGTCTTTTTGTCTCCGTCTGCCCCTTCATAATACGGACCAGGCACAGGGCCTGGATGAGGCGTGCAGGGGGTGGGCCTGCTCTGCCTCCTCTTTCTGTCCAGGCCGCGTGAGAACACAGCCTGTGGTAAGCACTGGGAGGCCAAAGATGATAAGTTTTATGTTATGCATTTTTTACTGCAATTAAAAATGTTTTTAAAAGATGCCATTGATTTTAAGATGCTGTCCTATTTTAGAGTCCTGACATGAAAAAAATTTGCATCTTAGAATCCATGACATGCAACATTATAAGGTATGCTTTCCATAACCTTCATCATTTGATCTAGTTTAAATACCCCTTTTTTATTACCTATATTATCCAACTGTTTGGCAATACACACATTGTATTTTAGCCAGGGGAGGGAAAAAAGGTTGAAAGTAAGAAATATTCAAGTTTTGTTTTGCCATCCATGATGATATCAATTACTTTTTTTCATTTGATATCACCAGGTATCATTACCCAATTGAAAACAGAAGACCACCCCAGAAACATTTCAGAAAATTTCACTTCATCAGGAAGTAAGCACAGCTCAGCACAATGTACGAGATCTTTAAAATGACCCTAATTAAAATGACCAAACACTGCAGTTAGGTGACAAAGAGCACCTTTTATGATAATGTGTTTTTGAGGATTTAGAATTTTTTTTTAGTAATTCAAACTTTGATTTACAAGCCATAAAACACATCATTCATTTAAAGTGATTTATAAGGCATAACATATATAGTCATTTATACTCATTTATTCAGAAAATAAGAACTTACTTTGGAGATTTGATTCATTTTTTAATCAAGGACAGACCTAAAACTTTATTCTAGGGCTCTAGAACTTTTATCTAACAGTTAAAATAAAATATTTAGAGGACCAAAACTCTCTCATCTTCAAAAAGTTAAACCAATACAAATTAACAATTACAATAATTTTCAAGTAAACTGGGATTTACATTTAAGCTATTTTTTAAAAATGGGTTTAAGTATACCAGATGCATTCATGATATACCAATACCTCTGAAAGGTGATTAACCAGAATACCTTTAGGTAAGATTCAGAGTAAAATAAAAGTGTTTTCTCCAACAGAGCAGATGAAATATTACCGAGATCTTGTCTTGACAAATAAGACGGCTCCATTAGATCTTGGGCCTCAGACTTGGTGGGTTGCTGGTCCTCCATGTCAATAGCCTTAATGAGCTCCTTTTGAGATGGGCAGTTTGTGTTCTGAAGACTCTGTGAGTGGCTGTGCATATCCCGCTTACCGTCTAACAACTGGGATTTAGAAGGGGAAGACCTAGAAAGAATGAAACAAGAAAACCATCACCACAGCTTTCTGTCAAAAGACTTACACTTTCAGGGCAGCCAAAGCATAAGAGAAATAGCTCATTGTCAGAGCGATACCCAAGTGATGGCCAGAAGTCTGGATTCACAATTCCCAACCTGTCAGGGGTGACAAAGAACATCTCTCCTTAGGATCTGGTCTGAGGCAGTAAGTCCGTCTCCTAGTTGTTGACAAGCATGTCAGCAAATTTCAGCAAATTAGCTACTGCCACTTACTCAAATTCATGAGTCCCCATGGATGTGTTAGAATCAGATCTCTCATGAAAGTACAAAGTTGATTAACTCTGACATCGTTACACTCATTCTTTCTACCCAATTTTAGCACAATTCATACTCATCCCTATCTCTTGCCTTTTCAACGTCAAGTCATTCTAAGAACAAAAGCCAGTTATAAAATATTGTTAGAAGAGTTTATACATACAGTAATTCCTTTACTCTTTCAGATTTTAGGACTTTGCTGAATAAAATACTTAACAAATTTATTTTTTAAAAAGATTTTATTTATTTGTTTTAGAGAGGGGGAAAGGGAGGAAGAAAAACATCAGTGTGCAAGAGAAACATCAATTGGTTACCCCTTACATGCACTCCAACTGGGGACCTGGCCCGCAACCCAGGCACATGCCCTAACCAGGAACAAACTGGAGATGCTTCAGTTTGCAGGAGGACATCCAACCCACTGAGCAACACTGCTCAGGGTGATATTTAACAGATTTACAGGACCCCAGAGATCAGCCACTTAATTAATTATTGGGTGTTTACTGTGAGTCAGGCACTAAAACTAAGCCCTGTGGATTAAAGATGATCAAGACTTAAACTTCGGATCTCAAGTAGTCTCGTGGAAGGAAGTTCAATCAAATGTGTAGGTTCGTTAACAGAAATCTCTCAGGGGAAGGGGGAGGAAGGGCAGAAATATTTGGTCTAAAATTAAATGGGTGGTTAGCTCAACTAGTTAAAGACTAACAATGAAGTCATTACCTCTGAACATGGGTTTAATTACATCTGGACATGAGCAATGGTGTGGGGATTGCCTGAGGGAATGGAGAGTGCTGGGTGGAGATGAACAAAGGGCAAAATATTGGGACGAACATAATAGCATAATCAATAAAATACAATAAAAATATTTTTAACAATATACATAAGTAAATAAACATGGGTTTAGTACCTGTGGAGAACAGACCTTTTAATTCTGTTAGACACGGGGCCAGTACCCCAGCCTCAAAAATCTATCCTCGGCCAATCCAAGAGGTTTGGAAAAGATGGTGTGATTAGGTTTTTGACACCTTTGCCACGATTATCAGAAAGATAAATATATATACACTGAGTAGGAACTCAAATACAAATTCCTTTTCCTTCCTGGAGCAGTGAGATTGGACTCGAATGGCTCTGAGACTCTTCCTGACTATCCAATAGGAATAAGAGCCCAGAACTTACCCTTTTACCTTCACAACGCTGCTGGAAAGAGCAAATGAGAAAGTGGGTAAAGTATTTTTGAAAATATAAAGTTCTATGCAGTCTAATCTCCACAGCAATTTGAACAGACACCCTGAAAGATACTGTGAATAGTTCTTGGAATAAACCAATAGATTAAGGGCAAAATCTTTCCTTTAACTGGGGCAAGGGCTGCCCTGGAGAACTCTGCCATGAGCCTCCAGGCTTGTTTATGTTTTAGTTCTGCACTGTGTTCTGACCTCCAGAAGGAACAGAGGTATCATACATTTTCTCATGTTGTAGCTCACGCCTTGTGTAGGTCCAAAAAGCCTGTGTACAGTCATGCAAAAAAGCATCCTAGCCCTGGCTGGCGTGGCTCAGTGGATTAAGCACTGGCCTGCAAACTGAGGGGTCGTTGGTTCAGTTCCCGGTCAGGGCACATGCCTGGGCTGTGGGGTCAGGTCCCAGGTTGAGGGTGTACAAGAGGAAACCAGTCGATGTGTCTCTCACACACTGATGTTTCTCTCCCTCTCTTCCTCCCTCCCTTCCCATGTCTCTGAAAAAATATAAATAAAATCTTAGAAAAAACACAAAAACAAAAAACTAGAGATAGTAGTATGGTGAAAAATATTTAACAGTAAGAATTCAGTGTGAGTAGATGGTACTTAGATACCACAATCTGCCGTTTACAACTTCTTACCTTCCCACGCCTGTTCCTTTACACTTCCTGCTGGAACTATGCAGATACTCTTGAGCCTTGTCTGCAGAAAGGTTTTCCAGATTCTGACTTCTAGGATATTCACTACTTTTCTCTGACATTAATACTGTTTTAAAAGAAATGAGAAAACAAAGAAATTTACTGCCTTGTTCTGATGGTGATAATTCAGGTGAGTGCATCAATTTTTTTTTCAAAAGCAGTAACCCGTGATGATCAAATTGGTTTTTATACAAGTATATTGGACAGAATTTCAAAAACACAAGTGATCCAGCACTAAATGGAACTAAAAAATAAATAAATAAATAAATAAGCCATGTTGAGAGTGGGTAAACAACAGTACCCAAGTCAAGGCTGAAAAACCCCCAAAGATTTATAATTTTTTGGCCCTGATAAGAAAACAAGGATAGGGAGTATTTTTTTTTTAATCTCTACAGGAAACTAAATTATACTGAAATCCCCTTAGATAACAGGGAAGAGAAAGTACTGGAAAGCAAAGAACATTCCCTTTTCCACCCCTACTGCCTCCACATCAAAGATTATAAAATGCACGTGAGCTTTTTTACATGTGTGGGAAAACGAGAGGGAGGGTGTCACATGAAAAAGAAGAAACAGGTGATATTTTGCTTCAGATTTTCAATCAGTAAGAGAAACAGAACAAACCAACCCCCACCAAAAAAACCCACCAAGGCGCTGGCTTCTTCCAGAGGAACCCTGACTGCGTGGAACTATCGATGAAGTGGCCCCAGAAAGGAAACAGAGAACAGACCCCGGGCAAAGTTCTGACACGTAAGTTTTATCCTCCTTATTTATTAATTCCTCCGCATGTATTACTGTGCCACTGCTTTCTAGGAAGTAGCTTAAAGGCAGAAATATTTAAAAAGCAAAAACAAATACTTAAAATTACAAATGTCTTCTATTCATTAAAAAGTCACTGATGGCTGTAATTTATTCCCGCTTTTATTAGAAGAGCTGGAATCCAGAAATTGAAGCAGAAAATCGTAAACAAAGGGCTGCATTAATTAAAGACACTGGGTGACCTGGGGGGAAATAGTTATTGATTTCCTGAGTTAATTCTCAGATGCATTATTTATGGTTTTCTCTGTGCTCATCTTTTCGGGAACCTGTGAGTTTCTAGGGACGCAAGAACTCTGCCTCGGAGCCACCGGCTGCTCAGAGTAAGCAGAGTCTAACTACGCAGGTTTTTCTTTCACGTGGGTATGCAAAGCTTTTTAACACGGGCATCATCTCCCCCGAATACAGGGAGATGACTGGTGAAGGGTAATGTGCAGGCTCTAAGGAACCCCAGCACACAGACTGGCCAGCGGGAAGCGGGATTAGAAGAAGTGAAAGGGCAGGAAGCCTCGGACGCACACACAGGAGTCACTCCGTCACATTTGCACGTCGCGTATCAGTTCCCTTTTCCTACAATGGGACCGAGCTATGAAGAAAATAACTCGAGTTAGAATGCAATTACTCAACGGCACCTAAAAATACGGGGCAAAAACTTTTCTGTTCTTCATTTCCCTCGGTCCCTACTTCACAGATGCAGGGATCCAGAGCCCAGGTACTGGGACAGTCCCACAGTCCCCCTTAAACCACTTCCTTATCCGAGGATCTTAACATGTTCTATTGTTCATGGGTAGGGAATATGGGCCAGACAAAACATTTAATAAACTTACTGACTGCCTATTGTGTGCTAAGCACTGTGCAAAGTATTGGGAGAGTCAAAGGAAAAGACACTGGAGAAGAGAGAGGAAGAAATGATAGACTATAAAACACAGAACCCACAGCGAAATTCAGCTTTAAAAAGCACATACCCCACCCACCCACCCAGTTGACCAAGAGCTTCCAGGGGAGGAGCCTAAGAATTTTTAACAAGTGCCTCCAGGAATAATCGTACTGTAGGATAAAAAAAAGCTCAGATGTGTTTGAAAACCACTTCTGTTATAACGGCCTATGATTTTACAAATGGTAATGTTTACTTTATGAATGACAGGTAATCCAGGAGGAAAAAAACAACAAAGTGCATGATATAAAATAACTTTAGCCCTGGCTGGTATAGCTCAGTGGATTGACTGCTGGCCTGTGAATCAAAGGTCGCTGGTTTGATTCCTGCTCAGGGCACATGTGTGGGTTGTGGGCCAGACCCCCAGTTGGGGGCATGTGAGAGGTAACCACACATTGATGTTTCTCCCTCTCTTTCTCTCTCCACTTCCCTCGCTCTAAAAATAAATAAATAGAATTAAAAAAAAAAAACACTTTACCTTACAGAGGGAGGCACGTATAATTTATAACGGGTAAGTAAACACACATACACAAATTTTTTTTATTGTTTTAGAGAAAGAGGAAGTGGGGGCAGACACTGAGAGAGAAAAAAACATTGATACACTCATTAGTTGAGTGTACACTTATTTATACACTCATTAGTTGATTATTGTATGTGCCCTGACCAGGGATTGAACCCGCAACCTTGATGTATTGTGACAATGCTCTAACCAACTGAGCTACCCAGCCAGTGCTGCACAAAAATATTATGCAGGCTTGAGAATGACCCTTAGATAAACAGCAGGGCAGATCTACGCTGAGGGCAGGACATCTGATGCGATGACCCTAGAACGATGAATAAGTTCACTACCAAGAATAAAATAAAACCTAACAAAAATGTTTTATATAGAGATCCAGAAATTTTCAAAAAGGTTCAAATCCATAATAAAAATGTATGAAAACATGGCACCTATAAAATAAAATTAAAAAAAGAAAGCCACAAAGAAACATTCTGTCTACAGGTCTTCAGGAAAAAATAAACACCCTGTCCCCAAAGAGGAGATAGATTTACACACATGATCAAAGCCAGATAATAACATTTTGTAACTTGTGCACAAAAATTAAAAGTCTAGTCTGGTTTTAGACTGAGGGTGTAAAAGCACCTCAAAGAGGAGAGGTGGATTGAGGCCTAGACTTTGGGCTTCATTATCTGGGCTGTGAACTAATGAAGCTACAGTGACAAAGAAAGCACTTAAGGAAATGCATCTGAACCACTGCCGTACTAACAGTTTATAATGTCTCATGCATAAGCTACTGTTTCTCTCGAACATGAAAATTCTCCAAGGCACACTCCCTGACCAAGGCCACATTTTTGAGTAATTAAGAGTTGAGTTCCTAGAAAGACTCAAAGGAAGGCCTAATTGCCCCAAGCAGGACTCGGGGAAGGAAGCAATGATGTGGACACTAAGTTAGCTGGGTAGGTATCACTGAGACAGTCATGAGCGGCTCAGGGAGGTCTCCCCATACCTGCCCGTTCATGAGCACCGGCTCCCCCTCTGAAACCCACGCCTGTGCTTAACGTCTTATCTACTTGGCTACCTATTTGCCCTATTTAAAAACCTGCCCAATGTGCGGTTTTCCATAATGCTCTTTCCAATTACACTGGTACCTCGGTACTCACTGGCTTCAGAACTCATCAATCCTGGCACTCATTGCATTTTGATGAGAAATGTTTCAGCACTCGGCGCTTGCTCATCACTGATCACACTTGCTAAAATTTGTATGAGTCACAGCGCCAAGAGAAAATGCTTCTTGGAATAGGGCTTTGTGGTCTGATACATGTGGTATAAGGAATATGAATTTTTTTCTTAAAGATAAGCTTTCCAAACTGATGAGGAATCACCTATTTCCAATCTCTCCATTACGCTCAGCTTCCTGCGGGCTCCCCACAGCCTGTCCTCACTGTGGGTCCCCGTCAGACAAGGACACTCAATGACTCTCGTGGTCTCTCTGAATGGTACCTTAATTCTAAACAAGTACAAGAACCATGGAGTGACTCAAAAAAATATATGCTGAGCAAAGATCACAAAATGTTCAAGCTAGGTCAACATTTTTCTGGAGATGAAGACTTAGGGAAGGGAAGACTTTTGCTTAAGAGGCAGTGGGCCAATATTTCAAACCTTTCTCTGACGTGTTGCGCTCCAGATTCAGTAGGTCCTCAGATGCACAAGAACCAGCTCTGAGGAAAGGGGGCTTGTCGGGAGGCTGGCTCTCCTGCTGCTCCAACACAGCCTCCAGCTGGTCCATCTCCTGCTTGATCTTCATCAGGTTGTCCTGCATGGTGTCTCTCTGCTGCAAACACAGGAAAGCCACCCCGAGAAAGTCACACTCTTCTACAAACTGGCCAGAGTGCAAGAATGTCATACCAATTAATTTCAGCACGGGAATTAAAATCACCTGGTATGGAATTATAAGTTCTGGCTGAACAACTTTTAATCCGACCATATTCATGCAATTAATGCCCATGAAATTATTTCAGAATGATATTAAAGGAGTAAAAAAAAAAAAAAAGTCCATCAAACTCTCCCTAATAGACTTGCTTTATTGTGATGTCCTTTTGAAGTTATCAGAGCACTTTCTTTTAAAAGCTCAGGAGCAAAAAAATAATTAAGGTGCTTAAACACTTTTGATATTTAAAATTAGCATGACTCTGTTAACATTTCATACAGGCCGTGTTTCAAAGACTTAGTATTGTGGGACTCAGAAGCGATTTGGGTTGCTCCACACAAAAATGTCTCATTTCTGGCTCGTGGGGACACTTCTTTTTCTGGGACTCTTTGAACATAGAGTTTCTAACAGAAAGGACATAGAGCAACTTCCTTAGTTTAGCTGCTTGTTCATTCGATAGCTGTTTGTTGACCATCTATTACACATGTCAGACACTGTCCTAGTGCCGGGGACACAGTCCGCACGGCACTGCCGTTCTAGATGGCGACTATACCTATAAAACATCATGGAGGAGGGCCTGTGTGAGGGAAGGGACCAGCAGAAACAGCCCTGGGAAACCCTGTAAGGACAGTTACTGTTCTCAAGACAATGGGCTCTTCACATACAGGGCTCACATCAAGAGATCTGCTAAATACAAGGTTTTCGATAAGCAAAGTATCTTATAATCAAGGAGATTTACAAAACAGACCTTTCTTCCTTACTTTGAGAGGACATTAATGGTTGTCAGCAAACCCTGGGGTAACACAGACTGTTTCACCCTCCTATTTCTTCTTCTGATGCTTGAAAATGACTTTGCTCCCCACAAAAAACCAGCCATCTACTTTCTCCTGCTACACTGAGTTCATAGTTTGCAGGTTTTTGTGACCAGAACATGTATTCCCAGCTCCGCGAAGGCTTCCAGCGCTGCCCTGAGACTGCTTTGCTGCGGAAACCTGCGACAGTGCTGTTGCCACCCTGTGGTGCTTGTGAGTAGTTCCACTGCCAACAAAAGGGTCCACCTAAGTCAGTTTGGACCAAACCACGGGTGTCTGTAGGCTTTAGAAGCTGTCTCAGATACTAGTGTCACGACCATCACATCCACCCTCTATGTGGCCATTAAATAGGCTATAAAAGTCAGCAAAAACAGTAGTGGGAAAGTTAGTTAACTGTCCTCTGGGTTTTCCTAAAGGAATTACTTTATAGCTTGGACAATTCCCCTGCAGGCAACTGGACGGATACATTTGGGAGACCAAAACCAAATTGGTTACCGAGTTTTCTTGATTCTAATTCTTAAGTGTTTCTCAAATTAGCCCTACTCTTCCAACTTTGCTACTCTGATTTCTACTTTTAATACAGCTACACTGTGGAAACTCCTTAACAGCATGTTTAGCATGCCTTCCTTCCATAAGGACCTTGGGGACATACCACTGCTAAGTTAATGCTTCTGAAAACTACCTTACGATCCCCCATTACAGCCTGCAGGAGAAAGCCCAAACTGCTAAGCATAGCATTCGAAAGGCCCTCCATACCCTCTCATCTTTTATTTCTCTCCCAAAGCACCCATATGCCCTGTTTTCTCGTCCCGCAGGACAATTCTGTGCTTCCTGGGCATTTCATACCTTTTGTGCCTTCGCCTGGACTGCTGCCTCCCTTCCCTCTCCACCTGGAAAATTTCTTCTCATCTTGCAAGGCCCAGTTCGATGATCTCCTTCAGAAGTTCCCACCAACCATACATCGACAGTCGATCCCTTACTACTTCATGTATACTGCTAACGCACCCAGAGACCAGAGTGGAATACATGGCCCTCCTGTTTTTGCAGGGCCCTCTCAGACGGGATTTGACAGTTCAGCAGCTATCAGGGGTGTCCGACCTTTTGGGGTCTCTGGGCCACACATTATATACACAAATACTAAAGAAAACTGATGAGCAAAAAAAAGGTTTTAAGTAAATTCATGCGTTTGTGGTGGGCCGCATTCATAGCCATTGTGGGCCACGTGTGGCCAGCGGGTTGGACGCCTAGCTTGTTCATTAAATTCAGTATTTAGTGTTAATGAGCTCGGTGCTATGTAGGAAATAATGCTGCATGTGTTCCATCTAAACAGGTGATTATAACCTGACTTGAGGGGACAAGGTGCCACACAGAGCTGTCACACCACTGAGTCTCAGGGATGCTACAGGCCGGTGGGAGACTGCGGGACGCATACGCCTGAATGCGGAGGGCACCACGCAAACATCCACGCGTGCTTTTTACCTGAGTGGTCAAAATGTCGCTCTGAGAGGACAGCCCTGAAGAGTCTTCAGAAAGGTCTGTTTCACTCTCGTACTCAGATGCTGCTTCATCTTAAATGATAATAAAAATAGAGATTCAGATGTAAAAACAGCCAACACTGCAATCTGCTGTAGCTGTTTCTTCCTACTGGCAGGAGAAAGACCACTTTCCTGTTATAAAAAGTGATTACGCTCCCTGTTTTGGGACACCCGGATTTCCTTCAGAAACTATGATAATGAAAGCCCGAAGCAAGTCCACCAACCATTTGGGCACTGAGTGATGTTCCAGCTAGGTGAAAGACTTTTTAGGAAAAGCACCTTAGAAGGAAATGCTTACAATTAAAGAAGCAGTTTCTTTAAATATACTTGGAAACTCATGAAAGGACAAACACCTAGCTCATTTCTATAAAACAGACAGCTCCAGTACCTAAATCTGAATCCACACTCCGCTCTTCTGGATTATCCTCTTCCAGGTCAGGCTCCCTCTCCTCCTCATCTGAGACCAATTCCTTGTCACTCAGAACTTCCTCGTTTTCAGACTGATGGCTCACTTGTTTAAAATGAGAATCAAACATCAAGAGAGAATCCTGGCTGTCTGTATTAGCGGCCAAGTCTTCTGCTACACTGCACTGTGAAGAAAATAAGCTAACAGAACATCCTGCTTCTCCGCTAAGGTGACGTTCCTGGGACGCCTTTGCTGACGTTACCTGGTTACTACGATTATTTGAGCTACTCTTTAGAGGTACTTGGTTCTCCTCCATTTTCTTAGGTGGACCCTCTGTGGCAACAGCGCTGGGTCTGGGAGATGCAGAAGGTATGTTGGTGACTTTACCAAATAGTAAGTGCTGGAAACAGGGCAGCTCTTCGTCCTCACTAGACGTGTCCTCTTCTGAGGACTCTAGTTTCCTGGCCCTTCTCTGGTGCCCCTGAGCCAAACGTGGGAGGGCTAAGGGACTGGGGCTCCTTCTGAATTCTTTTGGGACACTTTTGCTAAAAACAGCAGATCTTTCCTTAATGACACTTTCGGCAAAGCCGTCATTCCCTTTGATCTTGTCATCATTTAGCAGGTCATCTGGGGTCTCAGAACAGCCCCGAAAAGCAGGACTACTTCCCAGAGGTTGTTCTAGGTCATCTAAAATCTGACATGGAGAGAAATCTGCATTAACGGCCTGCACTACTCCCCCAGCTTCCTGACTTTTTGTTTCAGGATCTTTACAATTACTTAGAGGAAGACTTGGCTTATAGACTTCAGCTTGCATGAGACCTAGTCTGAGAATAGCACTTAATTTTGATCCTCTGTTTCTGCCTGGTTCTGCTGGAATATTCTCGCCACTGGAGCCTACTTCATTAGTACTGCTGGAGCTGCCTTCTTTAACAGCACTTTCTCTAGTTTTATTCTGGCTTATTGTGCCCACCGTACTTTGAATGATGTTGTCATTTCCCATTGCTCTTGCAGGTGACACTGAATGTTCCTCAGACTTTTCCTCTGACAGGTTTTCCTTACTTACAGTTTTAACAGATAACCTGACGGGGGAAATGGATGGTATATTATACGGGTTTTGTGAAATTCTGTATTTATTTTCCATAGTAAGTTTAGTGTCATTGCCTCTGAACTGAGATGACTGACAAGGCCTAGAGATTCCTTTCATACTATACTCTCCTGGCTTCTTGTCTTCCTTGCAAACCTCAGGAAAGCCTGCCGTTGTGTGAGGTGGCTGTACGTGCTCCATATGAAATTCCTTCTCTCCCTGATTTTCTTCTTTTTGCCCACCTTCAAGAGCGACTTTTGAACTTTGTTTCCCTGTGGACCTGGAGTGGGCACAGACGGTTGCATATTCCTTTTCTGGATTTCCTGGATTTGAACACAGAGCAAACGACTGGCGCTTTGAAACCTTAAATGAATTCTGTAAATACTGTGTATCAAGTTCACTCTCTTCCATTTCTACGCTTGTCTCCTGAACTTCACATCTCGAGAGATCCTTAACGCCCTCTGTGTCATTAGAACAATCATGGACCAGCTCCTGTGGGTTTCCAGTTGCTGCACACCCACCCACACGTTGATTTGGTGCTGTTTTTGCCTTCCCCAGGGTGTCAGGAGCCAGCAGGGAGACACTATCCTGAGTGTCATAGTCAGTTTCAGATACCAATAAAATATTGGTGCTCTCCATAGATCTGTCAGTTTGCAAACTCCTTCCTCCACCGAACATCAGGTCTTTGAGGTCTTTGGTACTGTTAGACACTTGAATTGTTCCTAGGTGCTCTTCTATTTCTTCTCTTTGAAGGTTAGAATCCACAAATTCTTTAAGTTCAGTAGAACCGGAACCATTGGTAAAAACACCAGATGCGTTTGTTAAATTTAGTTCTGGAAAAGCATCATTGGCAAGTCTTTTATTTATTTGTTCATTTGACTTGTTGCTTTTGTTGGCTCCAGTTGCAGGTTCTTTACCTTCCACGAGTGGAAGCTTTTTGCTCTCTCTGACTGGTATTTGCTCAGAATGTTTTTTCTTCACCTCTTCACTGCTAGAACAACTATCAATCTGTAGTTCAGTATGAGTAGGTGAGCTTGGATTTTTACTGACTACAAGTTCAAGTGCATAAATATGCTTGGTCGTGGTCTTCTTCCTCAGCTTAGTCTTCTTGGGTGCTTTTGAACTATGGATATTTAATTCTAGTTCCATGTTGCTTATGCTGCTGCTTATAGGTTCAGCTTTAGTTCTAAAAGCAGATTCTTTTTCCAGTGGTTCTGCTTGGTTAGAATTTTTCTCATTTTGAACACAATCACCTTTTGTTTCATTCCCATGACCATTCTTAGTAATATTCATCACATGGCCATTCTGTTCTACTCGGTCGGTTTCCTCAATTACCTTTTCAGGAGTCTTTTGATCAACTGTCAAATCTACTTTCTTGATAAAATCCTCTGGATGAAGGCCCGGTGTCGTTCTCCTTTTACGCTTCAGTTTATTTATGAAGGGCCGCTCCTGTGTCACCCGAGGTCCTGGAGCAGATGCTCCTATAGTTAGATTGTCAGTTACGTGGCTCAAGTTAGGGAGGCTTGCCTTCCTCCGATAGGTTTTCCCAAATATTTTATCTTCAATATTACTTTCTACTGGTTTGGAGTGGACTCTTTCACTTTCACATGTGAAAGCACCATGAGGCTCACTGGCCAATGAGGCTATCTTCTCTGGAGAACCAGGATATCCATCTACTTCATTTGGAACTCCTACTGCGTCTGCTACTTCCATGTTTGACTCAGGCCTCCCACCATGGGAGCCACTGGAAATTAGTATTTCATCACGTCTGGAAAACCACTCATTAACTTTCTGTATGCTACTATTCCGTGTTATCCAAGGAACATCTTGGGAATCTCTAGAATGGTCAGAGGAAGGAGATTCTCTCCTCCCATTCTGGGGATCGGCATTCAGAACCACCCTTTGCTCTGTGCTGGGAGTCTGCCTATCATCGCATGTTTCTTTACTTTCAGCCCATCTGCTCTGCTGGCTCCTTGCTAAGCCAGGCTGCTTGCTTTCATTACAGAACTCAGCCTTTTCTACATTCATCTTGTCTCTAGTGAGTAGTAAACTGCTGTTCTCACGCTGTAATGAGCCGGCACGAGTGCTTGTGCCACGTGGCTCCACATGCAAGTTTGAAACAGAAATACCCTGAGACTTTTCTGGAAGCTTCTCGGGTGCATGCTTCTTCTCAGTGGTGGCCAAAGCTTTATTACTGGATGAACAACGTTCAATATTTGTTATGTCCTCAGAAAACTCACAAGCAGCTGTAAGTATACAAAAATAACAGGTGATTAACGACAAATTATCATGGAAAAATACACACAATACAACTTGGGGGGTAGAAATGAAACTGGCTATTTTTAGAGAAACTATCTTTTTAAACAACCAAGTATACTGAAAATGTAGCTCCAACTCTTTCACATAATTCCTAGATTCTCCTTAGTTCCACTCAAGATTAGAATTTAAGTTTCAGAATTCTTTCTACTTGTAAACCACACCCCCTATTTCTGGAACCTGTAACAGCGCAGAAAAAGCAGACTGGGCATCAGACCTCCTGTGCTCTGTTCTATCTTCGGATTCATACCCCCAGTATTTAAATACCAGTATGCAGAAGATGAAATATAAACATGTAAACTTAAAAGGCAACAACCAGTAACACAGGTACCATTACCACCACATCAGTCTAGTGCCGTCGAAACAGACCAGGCTATACCATAACATCAGAGAAAGAATGATGTTCCACCTCTGCCAAGAGATGATGTGAATTATAAATGTCCTAAATGACCTTCAGAATAATCTAATTGCAGTATTGTATCTACCCATTTTCTCTCCAGTGTCTATTATATGGGGAAGTCTTGCCATTACCCTTTTTTGCAGAACTGGAACTGGCTTCAGCCCTGGCTTCTTGAGGGGTGATCTGTAATAGACCGTGATCTCCCACACTGTAGGAGGGGAAAAAAAGGCCTTCATGAGAAACACCAGCTATGTGCTCAAAGAGTTGTCAGATGAGTGAAATCAGTATTTTAGCTCCTTTAGGCAGGTGGCAGTGAGCTGATCAATTTAATTCACTTTTGGAAACCTGCTCTTTAGTAACTACTAGTCAAAATGAAAGGGTCAAAGACTGACACACAGTCTTAAAAACCAAAGAGCAAGAATACAGAACACTGCTTTATGGACAAGCGAACGAGAATCAAAATTTAAATGACAGCCCATTTAAATACAAACCATGACCAAAAGACAGTAAAGCAAAAACAAACAAAAAACATTCCCGCAAGACTTAAAAGTATATTTTAATCAGAAAGCAAGAACAAACATATCCCAAACACGGGGCACTGGGATGAGGTAGACATCCCAACGGTACGCAAAGCATGCACCTCTGCCACTCTGGCCTCTGTACTTCCTCTCAGGCTAAAACCCACTTCCTCTCAATTGAGAGATTAGGAGGAAAAGGTTATTTGCAAACAAATTCTGATTGGCAATGACATCATTATAGTTCACGCAAGGTATTACAGATCTTAAGGTCAAGCAATAATTTCTAAGGAAAGCAATTTGCCAGGTAACACAGTTTGGGGCTGCTTGTAGATTTTTGTGTAACTCCCATAGGTGAAGTCTGAGGAACAGATAGAATTGAGAAACAGAGGAAACTAAGAAAAATGGAGTCCTCTAGTCCTGACCAGCGTAGCTCAGTTGGTTGGGCATCATTCCTCAAAGCAAAAGCTTGCCAGTTTGATTCCCGGTCAGGGCACATGCCTAGGTTGCGGGTTTGGTCCCCGGTCAGGGCGTGTATGAAGAGCAACTGATTGATGTTTCTCTTTCACATTGATCTTTCCGTCCCTCTCTTCCTCCCTCCCTCACCCTCTCTCTAAAAATAAATAATAACAACTTAAAAAGTAAGAGCCCTCAAATATTTTTTATCGACCACGATTACCGCTGTCACTACTACTGCGCACGAGGAGCTAAGCCAGCACAGAGCAGAACCATCTGCTGTGAGTCTGTGAAGAGCTGTTATTTTACCAAAAGAATTTAAACAAACAAAAAGGGTATTTTCACAGCTAGAAGATAAGATTAAAGAAAATGGTCTATTTTAATGCCATTATTCTAACCTAAAAAAAAAAAAATCACCAAACCTTAATATTAACAAAATGCAAAAATGCCAGCTTCATAGATGAAGGCTCCCTTTGACTCACCTGTAATAACTTCCTTTATTAACTGTATCTTCAGAAGAATCGGATCCTAAAAAATTCATCAAATACCAAGTCAATAAAAGAATTTGTACTGAAAGGTTAAACTAAAAAAAAAAAAAAAAAGAAGTACTTTTTGCAAAACAGATAATAATTCAAGAAGTACTTACAAAACACCCACTATATATATGGCAGGCACAGTGATACATATGTCAGGCAATACAGAGAAGTATTAGAAGCACAGGCTATGAAGCTGGATTTCTAGGTTTGAATCCTGGCCCTGCCACTTACTAGCTTCACTACCTCTCTGTGCCTTATCTTCCTCATCTGTAAAATAAATGTAATAGTAACAAGCTCCTGGGGTTCGTCAGGCCTCTCGTGTGCATTTTACAGGGAAGCACAACAGGGCCTGGACTACACTAAGTGCTCCTAAATACTAGCTAGTATAATTTTGATTATTGTTGTGTCACAAAAATAATCAAAATAAAAAATTCGTAAGTCTAGGAACTTATGGTTTTAAGAAGGAAAAAAGACATACAGATAATTGACAGAGAAGCTGGTAAGTGCCACGGTAAACATACGGTGGCACTGAGGAGCCCAAAGCAGCGCCGCTCTTTCTAATCATAAGTATATTCCAAAGGATCAGACGATTAGAGAAAACTACCTGAACTGAGCTCAGCTCTTCTTAAAAGTCTTTCTTGCCCTGGCCAGTGTCGCTCAGTGGATTGAGCACCGGCCTGTGAACTGAAGGGTCGTTGGTTTGATTCCCAGTAAGGGCACATGTCTGGGTTGTGGGCCAGGTCCCCAGTTGGGGGTGTGTGAGAGACAACCACACATTGATGTTTCTTGCCTTCTTTCTCCCTCCCTTCCCTTCTCTCTAAAAATAAATAAATAAATAAAGTCTAAAAAAAAAAAAAAAAGGTCTTTCTAGTCTAGTACAATTTATTTTGGATCCTTCCAAATGCTATCACCAACCAATCACATTCTTTCTTATCAATCTTTCCAAAGCACAGTAAGTCCTCACTTGCTGTTGTCAATTGTTTCTGCCACTTCGAGCAAACTGCCGTATAACAAAACCAATTTCATCCACAGAATAACTGATACAAACAAGAATTACCGCACTTTTCTCTAACACCTTATGATGTTATAACAAAACGCTGTTGAAAGAAACGTTTTTCAAAGATGTGCTGTGTATTTACACGTACTTATAACCACATGTCTTTCTTTTGCTGTCTTTGGAAAGTAAGGTTCTTCAAGGTAAGAGCTTCATCTTTTGCATTATTTATAAATATACCATAAGGCTAATATTATTTTATTTTCACTTCTCAAAGTTCCCTGCAATTGTGTCAATTATCACCAAAGTTTCCAGTAAACCTGTAACACAAAGAATCTAGCAAGCACTATTCTGAATTTAAGAAATTGGAGACTCACCCAATTCAATGTAGACAGACTTATTCTGAGATTGTACCTGCTGCTTTGTCCTCAGTGATCTCACAACTTCAAGGTTAGAGAGTTGGACACCAAGGCTGGTTTCCTGATTAAGCAATAAAAAACAATCAACTAATTATTGGCCAGTTCTTTGCTTTTTTTTTTTTTCTTCCCTGAAGAGAAACTCGAGGCCATGGAAAAAAACAAATAGGCCATAATAAATCAGCTAAAATTTATGACACCTGGAAAAATCACTTGGCAAATTACACATCAAAATGTATGTTATGTCCTGGCTGGTGTAGCTCAGTGGATTGAGCATGGGCCTTCGAACCAAACAACCACAGTTCAATTCCCAGTCAGGGCACATGCCTGGGTTGCAGGCCAGTTCCCAGCAGGGGATGCACAAGAGGCAACCATACATTGATATTTCTCTCCTTCTCTCTTTCCCTTCCCCTCTAAAGATAAATAAATAAAATCTTCTAAAAAAAGTATGTTATGCTCTAATGGTTTAAATATTTTTTCTCTGTTGTTTTAAATTTTTCTAGACAATATGTATCATCTGTGTAATTTTTTTTGAAGTATAAGAAAAGCACACACTGGGCCCTGGCCAGGTGGCTCGGTTGGTTAGGGCTTTTCCCAATACACCAAGGTTGTAGTTTCAATGCCCCAGCAGGGCACATACAAGAAGGAACCAAGGCATGCATAAGTAAGTAGAACAACAAATAGATGTTTCTCTCTCTCAAATCAATAAATTAAAAGAAAAGCATATTTTGAAGCTGATACTTTATATTATAGTATAAAAAGAGAATTAAGATTCATTAGCACACATTTCAAATCACATCTGGTAACAAGGTTAGCAACTAAGATAATTTTTAAAAGAACAGATAAAAACAATAAAAACCCAGCAAACATCAGTTCATGCAGTATAAGAAAGAATATTTTAAAAGCCCAACATTATTCCCATGAAGTTCTCCTTTTTCTTTTTGAACCTTTCAACAGTTACTGAAAGATGAATGCTGGTATCATAAGAACTATTATTTTGGAGCTCTCCATTTTTCATTCATATGAATAACAACAAATCACTCATTTTCTTTTGACAATTACACCTTTTAAACTGAAGCAATTTTCAACCATAAAAACTGATTTTCTTTTCAGAGGAAATAAAATAAACACGCCCTCATGCCGGGAAGATGGGCAGACTGGTTGCACAGACCGTCTCAGCTCCACTAACGCAGCTGTTAGAACACTTGCCCAGCCACTTTCTTTGCCATCTTACCTTGTTTACTGGCTTTTTCTCTAAGTCCATGACCATACAGCACATCTGCTAATTCACAATACTTAATAAAGACATTCTACCGGGATAAACAAAAATAGATGGCTTTACCAAGGTAGGATTCTCAGGTTCACTCTGTCGAAGTCTTAGGGTACGGTTTCGGTAACCCAAACTTTGGATGATAGAAACTTCCTCCTTTAGATGCTCAGGAGAATTATTTCCCTTTTTTGAAAAGTTGTAACTATTTGCAACTGTGAATTACAAAGGGACAACATTTTTACAATTGGAAAAAATTTATTACTTATAATCAAAGAACCAAGAGAAATCCTGTGCATGTTCTTTGTTGTATTAAGACAATATGTTACAGTTATAATTTTTAAAATCGACTTTGTTCATTCTATTGCTAGGAAACACATAGATGGTCAAAGTTGTTTCTACTCCTTTTTCCCACCCCTATACTAATGATTTTGCCTATTAATACCATACTTCACTGAATCTAAGGCACCAACAATGTAAGAAGCACCATTACTTTTTATGCCACTAAGAAAACAATGACACACCATTGGTGATAAACTGTCCTCAATTTTTAAGACCTTAGAATGTGAAAAGTGTGCCCCTCAGGACTGATAAAAATGAAACGTGAGACTACTTTATTCTCCACTGGGGAATGATTTAACACCTGGATTACAGGTAAAGAGCTAAAAATAACCTAGACCAGGGATCCCCAACCCCTCCACAGTCCAAGAATCTCCCCAGCTCTGCCTTCTGCCTCTGCGCCCCACCCCACCCAGCAGGTGAGTGTAGCTGGCTTGAGCCCCGCCTCCTGACCTCCCCCACCCCACATGAGCCCCGCCTCCTGACCTGTCCCCTTCCCCACTCCACACCCCTTTCGTGGAAAAACTTGGTCCCTGGTGCCAAAAAGGTTACAGACCGCTGACGCAGACCAACAGGTCTTATCACCTATCCATTGAAAATAATTACGTAAACCATTTCCTGAGTTTTAACAACAGCCACTTGAGCACTGGCCCCTGGGCTACATGGCACTTACACTGCAATCCTGTGTCCAGCTCAAAAGCATGAATGAGTTTCAACAGCTCTTCCACAAGTTGACTAAATCTTGTACTTTCCTGTAGGCTTCTGAAATTAAATTAATTGAGAGACATACTTAGCAAGTAATTATCAACTTTTTAAGAACACAAACATAAGGAAAGACATGTAAACTAATTTTAAAAAGCTGTAGCAACATTAGAAAAACTATATTCAAAGAACACAGCTAATAGTGATATCACATAATCAAAACATCATTGACATCAGTATTTATAAAAACTTTTTTTTGCCATTCAAGCCTACGAAAAGCCTGTAACTATCTAAACTAGTAGTCTGACGACATAGTAGACATAAATCCACTGCACAGAGAACTAAACTATTCTTAACCTCTGAACCCCATCCACCCAAGCTCTCACTTCTAGCTCTGGGGGATTTCTATTGAATGTTGATTACATCATTTCAAAAGCAGAGAGACGACAATGTCCAAAGAAAGATTCTGATTTAGGAAAGTTATAGGACAATATAATTCATTTATTCCTTTAAATATCTGAGTGACTACTATACACCAAACACTGGGAAAAGTGTTGATGGAGACAAAGCCAGTGACCTAAAAGAACTTAAATCCTGGCCAGAGGGATGCACGATATATGAATACATTGTGTGTGTGTGTGTGAATAATTAAGTAGAAGTTGAGTGTGCAAGGAAGAAAAATAAAAGGATCAGGAGATTGTGGGGTCGATGGTAGAGCCCCACTTTAGATAAGGCTGCAAATTCTTGTACCATTCAGAAGCCTTAGAAAAAGGCAACGGATCATTAATATCTGTATAAGGTACCATAAAACTATCAGAAAAATAACTTAAGAAATAATTTATCCTGTCAGCTAAGCACCCTTTAGATATTTTTCTACCCAGGAATGGTTTGACAGGAACACCAGCTACGGTGTTAAGGAATTTCTATTTTTCCTGCTGCTTCCAACCTGCCATCGCCACTCACCACACACCTTTTGGTTATATCGTTCTTACACAGCGGACACTGTGATGGCCCTTTCTTCTGGTTGAGAAGCTTCAGCATACAAAATCTATGAATTATGAAGAATAAAAAGAACAATTCAAGTGACTCTTTTTTGTAGAGGGAATATTCAAAAGGCAAATAGCCGTGAAAAAATAATCTCACAACTGCCACTAAGAGCCATTTTAAAGGTAATGGCAGGTAAATTACAACCAGTGGCTTTAATTGTTTTTAGATGCTGGATGAGGAAAAAAACCAAACTACAAAAGCAATAATCTATGAAAACTGAACTTACATGCAAACGGCTTACTGTTTTGAGCAAATAAAACATATTCAAGAGCCAATAAGGCTTATTTAATAATAATTACTTTACGTTGTATAATCAGACATAAATGCTAAGTATTTCAAGTAAAATTATTATAATCTGTTTAAAAACTCGGCACCTTACTACAAAGCCGCAGCCGTGAAGACAGCGTGGCGGCGGCGCTGCGCTGGACCGGACAGAACTCAGTACAGGAATTGACGGCACAGAATCGAGCACATCTGTACCCTGAAGAGTTTAACGATATTATGGAAACTCATCTAATTTTCAGTCACTTGTCCAAGTCTACACTAGCAGGAAGCAATAAATTAAGAGTTCTAAGTGTAGGCAAAATAAAGATGGGCTGACTTTGATATTGGGTGTCCTGTGTTGCTGTTTATCGACCTAAGACTATGGACCAGTACGGTCCCCAGCTAAGATAAATAAGTAACAAGAGAGTCCCACAGCTTAGCATCCACTTACGTTGCCGGTCCCACCAAACCTTGTCGGTTTCTGTAGTAAGGCTCTGTTTTCTTGATCAGACCTCTTGTTCGTACTTTAGTTCCAACAATAAGAATCCATCATGTGCTCTTTACCTGGAAGACTGTCCCTAGGGTCCTTGCCTGGTATTGCAATCCCATGGGTCAAGGCTTTTGTCTCCCAAAGACAAGACGAGTCTTGCCCCTAACCTTTAGCCTCCAATGGCTGTAAGCCTGCTACTTTCCTTCCCTTATAACCACCACTTGAAACTTCTGCTTATTTTTGCTGCTAGACTCCTGAGAGACCATGTCTGATCTGCTTGCTAGATTATCCATCTCTTGCCTACTTCTGGACCTCTGCCATAGCAAAGGATTTCTAGACTCCAAAATTCCCTGATATTATGACCTAATGTAGTTAGCCATCAAACCTCCCTAATACTAACTCACCACTTACCTGGATTTCCTTAGTTGACTCTAAGACTTGCTTTATTTGATCTATCTGGTCTTTAGGCCTCAGCCATCCCTGATCTGGTTCCTCTTACTATCCTCCAAATAACTGTATATGAAGGTCATCATTCCAGAACACTGCTTCTCAAACTTTAATGTGCGTCAGACTCTTCCGAGGAATCTTGCTGCTCTGCCCAATACAGCAGCCACTAGACACCTGTGGTTACTGAGTACTTATAGTGTGGCGACTCTAAACTAATGTATGCTGTAAGCATGAAAAAACAAAGGCTCTCAAAAACTCACTACAAAAAAGAAAAAAGGTCAGCCCCAGCTGGTGTGGCTCAGTGGACTGAGTGCCGGACTGCAAACCAAAGGGTCACCGGTTCGATTACCAGTCAGGGCACGTGCCTGGGTTGCAGGCCAGGTCTCCAGTAGGGGGAGCACAAAAGGCAACCACACATTGATGCTTCTCTCCTCTTTCTCCCCCCTTTCCCCTCTCTCTAGAAATAAATAAAATCTAAAAAAAGAGAACATCAAGCACATACCTCTTCCACATAGTTATACTGAATTGGTAAAATTTTGGCCACAAATGGGTTAGGGATATATAAATATATAACTATAATTAAATTTTTAAAACTTTTTAGCAATGCGGTTACTACAATATTTAAGTTACACTCATGGTTCATCTTATCTCTTTGGACAATGTGGTTCTAGATCTTCAGAAAAATATTACACATTTCAGTTGTTTGGAAACTGCAAGGCAACGCGCGGATGACCTAAGTAATTTTTTTCCAGACTGGTACTATTATGCTTTTTGTATATATCACGAAAGATTTCAGAACTACACGCTTACCCCACTCAATCCTAAGCAATTAGAATTCATCCTGTGAAAATATCGTTAATGCTTGGGACATTTCCCCAGCTTTCTCACACAGCGATCGAAGTATTATTCAGATTATAAAGGTATTACAGAGGAGCTTCCATGAAAAAGCACATCTGTCACATGGGTTTTATACTACACTTAGTTCTAACATAGCACTCAAAATACGGCTGGTTCTTTTGCTTATCATAGTCTCCATATTAGGAGTTACCAGCCCTTCTCACTCTCCCCCAGGTACCAACTTTAATTAACCCTTTCAATCTCAACAGATGTTTTCACCTCCAACTTCACTGAGAACAACCTCAAAATATTTCTGTAGAATTGTTCTCCTTAAAAAAGAAACGTTCTATCCATTTATGTTTATAGACAGGCAAAGGGAGGGAGAAGAGGAGAGAAACATGGATTAGTTGGGCCCTGGCTGGCAACCCACGCATGTGCCCTGAAGGGGAACTGAACTGGTGATCTTTCAGTTAGGAGACTGACAATCCACTGAGCCACACCAGCCAGGGCACAGAATTATTCTCCTTTTCCTTCATTACTGCTTATGAATAATAACTTTATTTCTCTTGCACCCATTTTCTATTTCAAACCCTTTCCACCTCCTCCTGCAAATGCCAGCTTCCTGTCTTCACACAACTACTATACATGTATGCATAATTTCTTTTTTTCTGGACACATCCTACTTCATTCTCTTTGTATCTTTGCTCGTATTATTTCCTCTTCCCATAATTTCCTTCTTCCACAAGCTCTCAAAGTAATAAACGTTTGTAATTTGATTTTTCCTTTACTCACCATAATACTGTGTATTCATCACTCAAGGTGACCGGAAAGCACACAGTATATTTCAGAAAGATTCTCATCCAGAAACAGTGAAGGTTCCACATTTAAAAGGTTAATCTTCAGCTATCTGTAACCTTTTAAAATTCTGTGACTTTTAAATTTTGTTTTACAAAAGGATCAATCCATGAAGAAACCAGTCCTACACTACAGAGTTTGAGAAACTTCTCTCTAGGGGCCACAAAACTGAAGACTGCCCGAAGCAGAGCAGTCAGGCTGTGCTGCCCGGCACCTGACTGAGGTGCAGGGCCTCAGGGATCAGAAGGGAACTATTGGGAACGTACCTAGATCAGTGGGGTGACTTGAGAAAGTGGGGAGAGACAGGGCTCTGGACCCTTGTTAGGGCAGATGAATAGGAAGGGGACAGGATGCAGACAAAGGGCCCAGCCGGCTGGCAGCCCAGTGCTCAGACGATGTCCCTCCAAAGCGAACAGGTTTCCCTCAGCTGCAGCCAGCCCTCGTTATCCCTAATACAGACACTCTTCACATCTTCAAGTTAGGAAAACGTGCCAATAACCTCATGAAAATGATGGACTGTGTTGCCCCTAAATTGCACATACCTATAGTTTTTAGTACGAGTACAGCTGAACTTAAAATTGAATATAATTCTAGGATATTCATAAAAACCACAGATCCCAAGTTAAAAACCCTTGAAATTTAAAAATTCCTGGGAAGATACATAAGTTGATCACTGAAGTTGTTTCTGGGGAGGGAAGAGGAAGGCAGGGATTTGGGGTTAGAAGGGAATTACAGTTTGTGCTAGTGAATACATTACCATGGACATGGCTTGCTTTTTCAATTGAAAAAGAAAATAAAAATACCAAAATTAGTTGGCATTCAGGGAAAGTCTCAAATCATAGCTTCACATCATGGAAATGAGAAATCCCCTTGTTCCACCAAAAAAACCTACCAAACTTCTTCTGAAATTCTTCCATCAGGAAACATTTTCATTTCAAAGGGCAAGATTCTTTTTTTAAAATAATTTTATTTATTTTTTTAGATTTTATTTCTTTATCTTTAGAAGGGAAGAGAAGGAGAGAGGGAGAGAAATATCAATGTATGGTTGCTTCTCATGTGACCCCTGCTGGGAACTGGCCTGCAACCCAGGCATGTGCCCTGACTGGGAATCGAGCCGCGATCTTTTGGTTCGCAGGCCCGTGCTCAATCCACTGAGCTACACCAGCCAAGGCTTCAAAGGGCAAGATTCTTAAAAATGTAAATACAACTTAAATCATTGGTATGAATGAATTTCAGCCTAAATATATATCGATATCAAATCCTTTCCTATCTTTAAAAGGATTACAAAGCAGGCAAATGATGAACCTTAAAAGGGGTAGAGCGGGCCTTGACTGCAATGGCTCAGTGGGTTGGGTGTCATCTCACAAACTGAAAAGTCACCAGCTCGATTCCCAGTCAGGGCACATGCCTGTGTTGTGGGCCAGGCCCTTGATTGGGGGCATGTGACAGGCAACTGGTCAATGTTTTGCTCACACGACGTGTTTCTCTCCCTTTCAGCTTCCCTTCCCCAGTCTCTAAAAATAAATGAATAAAATCTTAAAAAAAAAAGGGGGTGTGTGTGTGTGTTGAAGTGGGACATGCAGAATGGACAGAAAAGAAAAATTTGCAAGGTTGAAACACATTTTGTTTATTTCACAGTTGCTTGCAATCTGCTTGCACCTACTCACACAAAAAACCAAACAGCTGTTCAAAGTGAGTTGACAGCTGGGAACTGGATAAATATGTTTGTATTTACCAGGAACTATGGCTCCAACCAACTTAGGGTGACTTTCTGAGTATTCTCCGGGACAGAATGAAATCAAGTTGGACATTTCTTTCTTACTTAATTGAAGAAGCTAAAATTTCTATAAAAGAAGGTGTATCCTGTGTTATGAAGAATAAGCACGAAAGCTAATAACGGAGTTACATAAAACATTCAAACTTACTTGCAAAATATGTGGTCACATTTTGTGGAAACAGGCTCTTTGATTAACTCCAGACTAGAAGGGTAGGGGAAAAAAAGATAAAGAAAATGAATGCAGCTTAGTAATTCATTCCGAAGTAAATACATTCTCAGTAAAGAAGTTCAACTTTAAGTGCCTGTAACTAAGTCATGATAAGGTTTCATTCAATAAATGTTTACTAAATGTCTGCTGTGCTAAGAGCCAAAAATACAGCAGAGAATATGACCCCCAGCCTCGCTGAGCTTTCATCTGAAAGCTCATATACATCACATTAAAGTGATATATATTACTGTTTTCAATATGCTATATCATATCCATAGCATTTAAAAGACTATCCGGTATTACTTCACATCAATTAGGTTTCGATGATACACTTTTTTGAGCTATCAGTGGGTGCACATCCTATATCTTAACCAAACTTTAAGCTCCACAAAGACAAAAATTTCTTATATTTCTTTTGGATTCCCTCACAGCACTTGTTTGGGGTTTTCTGTTTTTGGTTTTTTTGCATGTGACTCCCTTTTAAATGTCTTCGTAGGGAAAATTTCAAGCATTTATACAAATGAAACGGTAAAACGAACTCCCTGTATCACCCTGGTCTCAACAGTCATCGACTCCCAGCTGATGTTATTTTGTCCACGGCTGACGCTCACACAAGGCCTAGACTGTTTTAAAATAAATCCTAGCCACCATATCATCTATAAATATTTAAAAATATATCTTTAAAAGAGGCTTTTTAATACATTTTTAATTTTTATTTGTTTGAAATTATTTATTTATTTACTTATTTACTTATTTATTTATTTTTAGAGAGAGGGGAAGGGAAGGAGAAAAAGAGAGACATCAATGTGTGGCTGCCTCTCGTACACCCCACACTGACTGGGAATTAAACTGGCGACCCTTTGGTTCACAGGCCCACACTCAATCCACTGAGCTACACCAGCCAGGGCTAAAAGAGACTTTTTAAAGAATAACCATGAAACGTTACTACTTCTAAAACATAATGTTCTAATTTTCCTCACTGTCTCAAAAAATTAATTAATGGACCTGTCGAATTTCCCACATTCCGATTTTGCGACTGTAACCCTACGGTGAGTGGTTTAACACATTCCTCTAGCCTCTATTTCCTGTAAACTTAGACCTACAGGCTCAATCAAACTCAGGTTCAATTTTTTGGCAAGAACGGTTCTGGTATTGCGTACTTGTTTTACGTCACTTCAGGAGATACATAATGTTTCGTTTATGATTACTTGGTAAAATCAAAGTAATAAATACTGAGCCCTGGCTGGGTAGCCCAGTTGGCTAGAGTGTTTTCCCCATACACTAAGGTTGTGGGTTTGATCCCCAATCAGGGCACACACGAGAATCAGCAATGAAGAAATAAGTGGAACAAATCAATGTTTCTCTCCCTCTCCCCCGCTACTTCTCTCTCTCTAAAATCAATCAATAAAGTTTTTTTAAATACTAACTAAAAAAATAAACTTCAGAAAATACCAAAATTTCGAGAAAAGAAAACAGATCATCCAAATTCCCATTCCAGATTATCTATCCACAAAATCTCAAGACCTTCCTGAGATTATGTCATCCACTAACATAAAAAGTGTTTGCTGAACATCTACTCCATGCAAACACAATTCTTGGAGATGGAAATAGAGCAGTGAACAAAATAAAGCCTGCCCTTAACAGAACTTACATTCTAGTTGTGGTGGACAGTTGACTAAGAAATAAACAAGAGTGTATGGGAACAGAGCTAAAAGGAAAAATAAAGGTGAGTGGGATAGGGAGTGTAGCTGGAGGGAATATACACAGGTCAGGAAAGACTCAGGGAAGGTGACATCCGTGGACAGCTGAGTAATGTGAGTAAAGCTGTGCAACAACTGGGGAAAGAAAGTTCCAGCAGAGGGAGCACAGCAGAGGGAGCAAAGAAAAGAGCCTCAAACAGGACCATGCCTGGTGTATTGAGGCGGTGATAAGTAATGTGCTGGATGAAATGATCAGGGGAAGGAAGTACGAGAAGAGGTCAGAGAGGTAGCTGAGAGCCTGAGCAGCTAGGAATATGTTGGCTATTTTAAGTCTTTAGGCCTTCATTCTGAGAGCTTTAGAAACTGATTTTTGGTCAAGTTCAGGCAAGACATCAAACAACAGGTAACCTGTGTTGACAGGAATGTGGTTCTTCTCATTAAATGTTTAACTTTTTAGAAAAGGATCACAAGAAAAGCTGGGGGCGCTACCCCTCTTGTAACACACCTGCCCCTTTCCTGTCCCCTCTTCTCCCCACCCCAGACCCTCTACCGTTGCCTTTGTCTCTCTTGCCTTTGTCTCTCCTAAGCACCAAGGACCCTTCTTTTGCTTCTGTAACTTTTCCTGAGCCTAACAGCCCAGCCGGCTCACTTCTACCAACTCTGTAACTTTCTAAATAAACCTCTGTTATAATTTGAGTTCCTGGCTCTGAAATCTTTCTTTGCCAAACTCAAGGATCAAGGTCCAATTTCACCAACACTGAGGAAACAGATCAGAGATGATTAAACAGAAAAAACAAACTTAGAGAAAAGAGGGATAATGCAGGGAGAAGGCAATCAATAACTATGAAACCAGAACAGGACCCTACTGGGGGGGAAAAAGGAAACAGCATTCAGAAAACGGTCCTGGAAATTAAAATTTAGTAAAAATGGCCCTGGCTGGTATAGCTCAGTGGATTGAGCTCGGGCTGTGAACCAAGGGGTCACTGGTTCGGTTCCCAGTCAAGGCATATGCCTGGGTTGCAGGCCAGGTCCCCACTGGGGACCATGTGAGAGGCAACTACACATTGATGTTTCTCTCTCTCTCTTTCTCCCTCCCTTAGACTCTCTCTAAAAAGAAATAAATAAAAATCTTAAAAAAAAAAAAGAGCCAAAATTAGTTTAAAAAATAAAATAAAATTTAGTAAAAATGAAAAAAATGGATAGAAGTTTTGAAAAGTGAAGCAGAAAATAGCAAAAGTGTCATTTGTACCCAAATTAGCCTGACCCCCAAAGCCCATGAAAATAAAAGAAAGACTGAAAAAAGTAGCTGGGGACAACAGCCTCGTTGTGAAGGGTTTGGTAACACAACTCTTACAATCATGGGGCTTCTGACGCAGCACAGGGGAAGGAAAAGACGGGCATCACAGTGAGTCAGAAGGCTGGGTTTCTACCACCAGACGTCTTTTTTATCAGCGGAGTAACCTTGGGCCAAGCACTGGACCTGACCGAACTGCCGTTTCCTGTAAGGAAACTGTCACCCACTCTGCCAGTCTCTGCAGGCTATGGTGAGAAGAGAATTATATGCTACTTGGGAAAATGTTCACAACCAGAGATGACCTGGAGTGATGTTAATATTACTATTAGGACCGAATGTGTCTAAAAAACAAAAAACAAAAACATGACAAAGAGAACTCTTGATTTGTTACCAAATCACTACTCCCCAGCTAAGCTAGGTATCAAAGGCATTCTCAGTAAGAGAAAGGGGAGTTAGCTACACATGGCTTTCATCCTCACCACTGACTCATTCTTAAAATAATTCTATTTCAATATGGTAATCACAAGCCAGACTATACAAACATACTCTAAACAAAATTTGAACAGATGAAAAATCCAGTATATAAGAGGGTAGAAACTGCTGAAGAAAAAGCTTGAAGAGGGAATAGGAACGAAAAGACCAAAAGGAAGTGTTCCTCTAACGGGTCCTGATGAGAGTAAATGTTTACTATAAAAGTGACTCAAATATTTTAAACACTTTAAAACTAATCAGTACTTTAGGCCTACTATGCGTCTACATTTTGAGCTTCTAAAATGGAAAAAGAATTGAAAAGAGAAGGTAGGTTAAGTTCCAAAAATAACAACCACTACCCAAGATACACATTTTAGAACACTGTTTTTGAAAGTCAAAAGTTTTATATAATCAGCCCTGGCTGGTGTAGCTCAGCGGATTGAGCGCAGGCCTGTGAATCAGACAATCATGGTTTGATTCCCAGTCAGGGCACATGCCTGGGTTGCAGGCCAGTTCCCAGCGGGGGACGCATGAGGCAACCACACATTGATATTTCTCTCCCTCTCTCCTTCCCTTTCCCTCTAAAGATAAATGAATAAAATCTTTAAAATTTTTTTTATATAATCATAAGAAGTTAGAAAGAACTACCAATTATCAAAAATAAAATGCCAATGGTGACTTAGGGAACAACAGAAGACATTTTAGCTCTAGAGACCTCAAAAAAGTTAGAAGCCTATTCTATAGCTACCAGAAGTAGCAATGTTTCCAGCAATTATTTATTAAGACATAACAGAGGACTTCCGCCAAGATGGAGGTGTAGGTGAAAGCACTGGGCCTTCTCACACAACCAAGTTTAAAAACAACAAAGTTTTAGCAACAAAAACGCAGCCAAACCACAGAAAATTGAACTACACAGAAGTCTGACAACAACAAACCCTTCAGCCAAACCGGCACGAACAAATCAAAATGTGGCGCAAGAACTCAAAGCCCCAGAGCCAATAAATCTAAGCGATGAAGAAATAGCCAAACTTTCAGATGCACAGTTCAAAACAATGGTGATCAGGATGCTCACAGAACTGGTTGATTTTAGTCACAAATTAGAGGAACATATGAAGGCTAAAGTAATTGAACTGAAGGGAAATACACAGGAAACCAATAGTAATGGAAAGGAAACTGGGACTCAAATCAATGGAGTGGACCAGAAAGAGGAAAAAAATGACCAAACAGAAAAGAATGAAGAAACAAGAATTCAAAAAAATGAGGACAGGCTTAGAAACTTCCAGGACATCTTTAAAAGTTCCAACATCCGAATTATAGGGGTACCAGAAGAGGAAGAGGAACAACCACGAGTGGAAAACTTATTTGAACAAATAATAAAGGAGAACTTCCCCAATCTGGCAAAGGAAATAGACTTCCAGGAAATCCAGGAAGCTCAGAGAGTACCAAAGAAGTTGGACCCAAGGAGGAACACACCAAGGCACATCATCACTACATTAGCCAAGATTAAAATGAAGGAGAGAATCCTAGAAGCAGCAAGATAAGGGGGCAGTCACCTACAAAGGAGTTCCCATCAGACTGTCAGCTGATCTCTCAGAAGAGACCTAACAGGCAAGAAGGGGTTGGAAAGAAGTATTCCAAGTCATGAAATCCAAAGACCTACATCCAAGACTGATCTATCCAACAAAGCTTTCATTTAGAATGGAAGGGCAAATAAAGTGCTTCTCAGATAAGATCAAGTTCAAGGAGTTCATCACCACCAAGCCCTTATTTTAAGAAATTTTAAGGGACTGATCTAACAAAAAAAAGATAGAAAAGATGAACACTGAAAGGACAGCAAACACACGGTTAAGAACCACACCTAAAACAAAAAAACTAAGAGGACAGCTAGATCAGGAGCAGACCCATAGAAATGAAGATCACATGGAGGGTTAGCAACAGGGGAGTGGGAGAAGGAGAAGGGGGGAGAAGGTACAGAAAATAAGTAGCATAGATGGTAGGTAGAAAATAGAGAGGGGGGAGGGCAAGAATAGTAGGGGAGCTATAGAATCTAAAGAACTTGAAACATGTGGTCATAAACTAAAGGGGGAGAATGGTGGGGGATGGGGTGTGCAGGGTGGAGGGGAATGAAGGGGGGGAACAGAACAACTGTAATGGCATAATTAATAAAATATTAAAAAACAAAAAAACAAAAAACCATTACAGCCACATATGTAAGTGGCCAGTATGGATGACGCTAAGTGGTAAAAGAGTAGGAAACTGGCTGCCTGTGTAATATTGTGTATATTAAGAATTTATTTTTATTTCAGTAAACTTTTTGTACACATGCCTTAGTAATATATCAAGGAATATCAAATAAATCTCTGTATAATAGTAAAAAAAAAAAAAGACATAACAGCAAAGTGTACCGGGCTCTGTAAGAAAAAAAAACAAGTCCAGTACTTATGATTTCCATACTAGAATTTTCCATTTAAATGAGTTGAACAATGACTAGAATTCAGTTTTATTAATAGTTTAAAACCTAAGTATATTTCTAACAGAAAACAGATTTCAAAATATAAGCTGTAAAATATACAATATTTGACTAATACAAAAATTTAGCATTAACTTTCATCTTGCATCTTTAATTTTTATGTCTCTCAGTTTTTTAATTGATGGTTTAATTTTCCATGGAAATGTAAAATTAATAGACCCAAATGCCATACTGTTGAGGACTTTTTGATCACTCTTTGTAATGGTGAGTTTTATGACTTTTTAAAAGCAATTTTTCCCCCAATTGCCATTTTCTGCTTCCCTGGCTCTGATGTTTTATAAATTAGGCTGTAAATCTCATTTAGCTCGTTTTTGTTTAGCTGAGATGTTGAAGGGCAAGAGAGAGGACAGTTCCTTATAAATCTTGTACCTTCTGAAAACACAACTTCCACTTTCCCTGCTTTTAAAAATATTTTATTTATTTATTTTTAGAGAGAGGAAAAGGGAGGAAGAAGGAGAGGGAGAGCCCTGGCTGATGTGGCTCAGTGGATTGAGCACCAGCCTGCAAACCAAAGGGTTGCCAGTTTGATTCCCAGTCAGGGCACACACCCGGATTGCAGGCCAGGTCCCTGGTAGGGAGCATGTGAGATGCAACCATACACTGATGTTTCTCTCCTTCTCTTTCTTCCTCCTACTGCTCTAAAAATAAATAAATAAAATTTTTTAAAAAGAGAGAGAGGGGGAGGGGGAGAAATGCTAGTTGTCTCCAGCAGGGGGCCTGGCCACACAACCTAGGCTTATGTCCTGGCTAGGGATCAAACCAATGACCTTCCAAGTTCATTTGCAGGAGGGCACTCAAACCACTGAACCATACCAGCCAGGGAGCATTTTCTTTCATCTTATTTACTTGACTCCAAATATGATAAACAACTTTTAGGAAGCACAAAGTAAAATTTACTTAAATTTACTCTCCTTTGTTCAAGATCAGGAGAAATTGATACAGCTTTCCAATTTATTTACTGAATGTTACCCACCAATTATCACCATGTTAAAAACTACTAAACTATCAAAGAACCAATTTAGTGTATTATTTAATACCTTCAACAACTGTTTACCAAGTTGCTGCTATATATACCAGGCATTGTTCTGACTCCTGAGGATATAGAAGTAAACAAATAAAAACCTCTGCCCTCAGGGAGTTTATTATATTCTTCGGGGATAGAGAAAAAGGTTACATAAATATTATATAATGTCATCCAGTAATAAGAGTTATAGAAAAAAATAAAACAGGAAAAGGGTATAAGGGGCGTGTGGATGGTGATGTTATAATTTTAAATAAGACTGTCCGAAAATTCCTCTTTGAAAAGGTAGTTTTCAAGCCATGCAATTATCGCAGGAAGAACATTCCAGAGGAAACAGCAAGTATAAAAACTCTGAGGCAGGTGAATATGTTGCAAGTCTGAAAAAGTTAAGAGGCCAATATGACCAGAGTAAAGAGATTAAAAGGGAAAAAGGTAGACAAAAATTTTTCGGAATTTTCACCAGAGACTGAGGCATGGTTTTTAATTTCTCTTGTAGGTTTAAGAGATACCACAGAGATCGTCTAGTGACTGCATGACGAGGTTCTTAATCTTGTGATGTATGGACCCGTTTTGGCAGCCAGTGAAGCTCATGAACCCCATTCTCAAATGCTTTTATTTTATTTATTTTTAAAAGATGTTATCTATTTTCAGAAAGAAGGGAAAGGAGGAAGAAAGAAAAACATGGATGTGTGAGAGAAACATTGATTGGTTGCCTCTTGCATACCCCCAACCTGACCCTACCCCGGTATGCACCCTAATTGGGATTCAAACTGGTGACCTTCCAGTTTACAGTCCAGCTCTCAATCCACTGAGCCACACCAGCCAGGACTCAAAGGAATGCTTTTAAATGCATAAAATAAGAAATACTAAATTATCAGCCCTGGATGGTATAGCTCAGTGGATTGAGTACGGGCCTGCGAACCAGACAATCACGGTTCGATTCCCAGTCAGGGCACATGCCTGGGTTGCAGGCCAATTCCCAGCAGGGGACGCACTAGAGGCAACCATACATTGATATTTCATTCCCTCTCTCCTTCCCTTCCCCTCTAAAGATAAAAAAATGAAATCTTAAAAAAACAAAAGGAATACTAAATTATATAAGAAACGAATTATATTAAATTAAAGTTTTATGCATAGGCCTTCAAGGGTCATGGAGGGTGGGCAAGTTAAGAGCTCCTGAACACACACAAGAAATCTTTTCAGGGTGATGAAAATTTCTATACATCTTCATAAGGTTACACAAATTACATATATACATATATGTGTGTATATATGTTATCATATATGTAAATTACATAACCATGTAATGATATATAACAATACATACTCATGTTATATAATCAAAACTCACTAAGATCTCTGCATTTCACATGTTATACTTCAATTTTTAAAAAGCTTGAATATTCTAGTTCCCTTTTTATTTTACTGATGAAGACAAAGGCTCACTTAAACAGCCGGAGAGACTTGTGGCTTTGAGGGCTTGCAGTATTCTCACTTAAATATACTGGGCTCCTTTGAGCCAAAGGTTCTCCCTAAGACCCACCTACTCACAGACACCAATCATTCCTAATTTTACTTTGCCATTATTAAGTATGTTCCTTCCAAGTGATGGAGCTCGCTTTAAAGGTGGATGGCAAGCCCAAGTGCCACTCACTCCAAACCAGATCCCTGCCCAAATGCAGAACCAGCCAAGTCAACGTGTGGACTAAGAAAGACACGAGGCTCTGTATGTGGAGGTGGTAGAGAGGGAGGGGAAGAAAGTGGAGAAAAAGGAGTACTTTTCTATATTCTTAAAGCTCTTCAGTTAAGAAAAGCAGAGACTTTAATAATAGCCTAATCATAACAGACATTATAATTTTTCTTCTTACTATGTAAGGTCAATTCTATTCATTTGCATAGGATATAATCATACAAGGAAGAATTTCAAGTTGATAAAACCTTGTGTTGACTTACCAGATCGGACACTCTAAGATTTTCTGCATAGCACAGAGAACGTTTTTTACTTCTTCAACTCGATCCACACATAAATCCATCTCTTCCTTTTACAATGAACTTTAACACATAAACACGCATATATAAATAAATCACTTTAAAAGGATTAAAAAAGAACAGCTTAGTTTCATTGTCATTTTTAAACGAGAGATTGAGATTGGAGTGCTTTAAAATTGTATCATCCATAGAGCTAATATAACAAAAGCTTCATTTTTTCAAAATTCTACGTTTTTCATTGTAATTAAGACCACTTTAAATTCTGTTTTTCACTTCCTTTTTAATCTCTTCTTTTCTCCAAGCAAGGGAAAGAAAGCCACAATGGATGACTGGGTGGAAGCCTCAGATTTCTCCAATCATCCTGGCTGTTTTTCTTCTCTTGCAAAAAACCCAAATGAACAAAAACAAAAGCAACACCAACCAAGGCTCCCCACCCTAGTCTTTCCCAAGTGTTTCCTCTGGCCTGCACTCAACTCAGGAGCCTCAGGCACATCCAATTGATGTGCCAATGACTAGTGACCTCCGTCTATTTTCCTCTCGTCTCTTCTCGGAAACGCATTAGAATTCAATTAAGGGCTCTCCCTCCCTCAAAATCCTGTCTCCCCCTCTTCCCAGACACATGCCTGCCCCTATTCTTCCTCGGAATTCCCTTCTGACATATATCAACCCGTCTCTTTACATTACGGTGTCCCCCTCAAGACGCATTCCAGCTCCTATCATCAGAATTCCCCGTCAGACACATCCAGCCCCCCCTTATGCTTGGTGCCTTCCACCATCCCGCGACCCAAAAGTGCACCCCTCCCCACGACTATCCCATACTCAATATCTTAGGTTTCTCAGGTCCCATCCTCCGCGCTTCTCTGCCAGATGTAACACCCATCTTGCAATCCTTCGGAAGTCCCTTCCCCGACTCTCTCCACACCTGTTTCTTGCCTGTCCCCCGGAGCACCCCTTGGGCCCTCCTCTCTTCCCCGAGGCTCTCTCACCTCTACTCAGGAGCAAAGCATCTGGGCTTTCCGGGCCCAGGAACCTAGTGATCTGAAAAACCCCACCGGACCCTCCCCAATCCAGAAAACTCAGCGAGATTACCATGCGCAGTCGCAGTTTTAATTTATCTGTAATTCCCGCGCTTTACCGTTGCCACGGAAACCGGTCGATGCGAAAGGGCGAGAGCCTCTCAGAACGCGAGATCGAAACACGTTACGAAGGGCGGAGCAGAAAGAGCCAAGTCTGTCGCGGCTCTCAATTGGTCATCTCGTCTTTCCCTGTGTTACGTAATTAGTAAGAGACGGAAAAGAAGGAATTCTCTCGGAGTTTTCCATTCGGCGCCCGCCCTCTCGCCTCTAAGCGTAGATGTGGCCGCTTATTACGTCACAGTGATTGATGCAGGGGGAAGGAATCGCTGAGGTCCGAATTGAGCGCACAGTAGTGCCTACACACTTGCAAGAGGTCTCGTTCCCTCACCCCTTCCGCCGCAATGGAAGTCTCCAGTTTAGGTAAATAAAAGGACTGTAGGCCAAAACTACAACTTCCAGCATGCATTGCGGATCAAAATACCTTCGCCGGAGTGTTCCTTCGAAACTGTAGTCTTATGGAGGAGAGCTTCCGACACTGGAAGCGAGCATAATCCTTAGTACAGCCCAGTTGATAGACTGAACAGCTCCGCACGCTTATGCTCGTCAACAGATATGGACTGGAATGTTAACGTTTTCGTACCTTGAGAGCGGAGAATAAGCTAAAGAACCTACCAGTCCTACGGAGACTACAATTCCCATCCATCCTCGCGAGTCTCGGGTAAGGAGTTCTCTAATGTCAGTGACCTAAGGGGACGCAGCGGGCGTGGAACTTACTGGGAAGGAGACTTAGGTTCCAGCTCGCGGCTGCGCATTCGTAGTTCCGCCCCTCGGCCCCAGTATTTGTTATTGTTGTGCAGTTCGGTCTACTCTTGTCCCGCCCCCGCAAACGCTACCTCAGCCAATCAATAGGGTGGTAACTTTGAGGGACAAGTAGCCAAAGCCAATCATCTTGTCGGAAACTCAGAAACTGGGAACTAGGCCCGGTCTCTATCCGCCATGTTAGATTCACCCCGCAGGGGTAGCAGCAGAGCTGGCAGCGAACGGTCCCTGCAGTGGCCTCAGGCGGCGCCCCCCGGGGGCGGGAAGCTGGTAAGAAAGCTGCTGCGGTTACCTAGGGGTTGGGTCACGTCGCACTGAGAGGGCTTGGGGAAGTTCAAAGGAGGAGCCCTTCGTAGAAAAGGGGCGACTTTTTCCGCTTTTGGGGACAGCCGTTCTTTTCAGTGGCTGGATGGGAAGAGCCGTACTTGCGCTAAGGGGCTGAGGGGGCGGATGCCGCCGGAGGGTTGGAGGGGCCACGGCTCGAAGCGGCTGGCTTCTGCTGAGGGAAGGCTGAGATTCACCGGCACAAACAGGGCCTAGGCAAAGAAAAGGAGCGGATCCTGAGGGTGGTGGCACTTCTGGGACATGGAGTGCTAGGAAACAATAGCTGGGAGACTAACGTGAAGTCTGCAAGAAGGAAGAAAGAATGACCACACATCCTCCTCGCCCCGTCCCTCTCCTCTTTTAAGAACCTCATGAAGTAGCCTCCTTGGGCAGGCACCTCTGGTATTAAAAAGGTGCCGTTTTTCTGTGTTGTCAAACACCCAGCTTTCCAGGTCACACATTCTAACGTCAGGGATATCTTGTACAAGCCTCTGGAGGAGACAGTAATCAAAGCTCAGGTTCCCAGGTCTGCTTCGTCAGAAATTTTTGGTATCCTGAAAAAAAGCAACGTAGAGGAAAAGCTGACTTGTGCCAAGCGAAGGTGAGTCAGTGGCGTGAAGTTATAATAATGCCGTTTAATAAAAGCCGAAGGCCTAGGCGCCAGCTTCATGATTTTATTGTCTTTAAACCTGCAAGGACAGATGGGCCTAGCCATAGATAGCTTTGGTGTTCCCCAAGTTCAAGGTACTTGCTCTCGCTATAAGAATTTTCACATACAAGCCGAACGGCAGTTCTTTACGAAGATCTGGATATGATCCAGCTAAGCTAGCCTCCCCCACTTCCTGTTTTCTCATCAGCCGACCAGCTGGATGAGCTCCAAAGTATCTCAACTGATTTCCAGTTGTATAATTTGAGAAAAGGGGAGGAAGATTAGTTTTCTCGGGACTCGGAAAAGTGGGAAGTGTGTTCCTCGGAAGCTGAAAAGTAAGACTGTTGCGGAGCCCCACTTTTCGGCAGACTGATTTACTCACTTCATTTCCCTGATTGTTTTGCTCAAGATTCTGGGGAGCTGGCAGGGAATTCTTTCCAAGTTTGAAGGACCTTCGAAACTGCCTTCCCTACGACTAGAGGTCAGCAGGATTGCTAGAAACCGGTGTTAATATTTTGGTGGTGAACTTGACTCTAGGTGGAGACAAAGAATGACCAAAAATTGGGGGATAATTGTTTTTGGATTAAAAAAAATTTTGATCCTCAAACCTTCAAGGTCCTTTTAAACGACCTTGTGTTGTTTTGAATTGTTTCACAGGACAGTACTGACTCTGTGGAAAAAAGAATCATTTTAGGTTCTAAAGACTGATTTATCATAATAACTTACATTTGAGTAACATTTTCAGAGAACTTGCACACACATTTTTATTTGATCCTTATAACATTGTGAGGTTGTCATACTCATGGGGGAGATTAAATCCTCAGAAGTATTTGTTGAATATATGTTTGTGCAGTTTACACTCTTTCTAATGTGTTTTCTTTTGCTCTTCCTCTCATCTCTAGTCCCACAACATGGAACCACAGGTTACACTAAATGTTACTTTTAAAAATGAAACTCAAAGCTTTTTGGTTTCTGATCCAGAGAATACAACGTGGGCTGATGTTGAAGCTATGGTGAGTGTTAACTTTTTTAAAAAGATTTTATTTATTTATTTTTAGACAGAAGGGAAGGGAGGGAAAAAGAGAGGCAGAGAAACACCAATATGTGAGAGAAAAAACATTGGTTGCCTCTTGCACAGGCCTGTGTGCCTTGATGGGAACTGACGATCTTTCAGTTTGGGGGACAGTTGCCAACCCACTGAGCTACACCAGTCAGGGCTGTGTTAACTTTGTTTTGTTTCTCCATCCTTGAAGCATAGATCCCCCCACTCCTGCAAAGGTAGCTATTTTTAGCACTGTTGTTTCATAGCTGCAGAGTCATTATAATGATCATTTCTGAGCCTTTTGGAACATTATTTTTGATAAGGATTCAGTATTCACATAGGAGATGTGCTCCAGTAAAGGCAATATTCTAATAAATAAATTTCTTTCAAAGAGTTTAGAAAGGAAAGGTAAAGTTACTAGGAGAGCTAGAACATAGAAAACCTATTAATTTTAGAAACAGTCTGAGGAATGGATTGGTGTGGGCCCCGCCCTAACCAGGCCCCAAAGGAATGTTCTCTCGCCTGAGAGCAAATATGTGCCTGAGAGCAAATATGTTCCTGTGGTTTGTGAGCCATTTTAAGATAGAACTTACGTTTTGCAGGCCCTGGTTGCTTGCTTTTATTGCTAGGTCACAGGTTATTTCAAAGTTGAGCATAGAGAGCTCCTACTGGTGCTTAGACAGAAGCTCAGGGTTCTAGGTGTGGGCGCTGGTTAATGCTTTCCTTCCTCTTCTTTTGCCCTTTGTACTCTTGTTTGGTTTGCAGTCCTGAGTGTTTTACTTCCTGTGTAACTATTTATGTAACAAAACCCTTTGGTTAAACCTGCTTTTACCTGGTTAGCAAAGACCTTTTAACTGCTTGTGTGTTATGGCAAGTGAAAAAAAAGAAATCGTGGAGAGACGGCAAACTGTAGTCCCCTCCAGCCCTCTGTCCTCCAGCAGATAACTTCGTTACACTGTCCCAGACAGTACATGGGTATCCAGAAAGTTGGCTCTGGTTTGTCAGATGATCTGAAAATCAAACAGTTATTTTTTTTCCTAGTAGTTAAATTAGCTGACAGCTTGCCTTTTCTCTTTATTGTAAAATCATGTTAAATTATAAAAGTGTAATATGTGCCCATTATGAAGTAGAAGTGAAACCATCCAAAAAAGTTAATGTCCCTCTGTTGCCCCCCCTCCCTCCATCCATTGTTCCCACCTGTTTGGGGTAATGTTAACATCTTTACGTGTATTTACCCACATTTCCCATGTTCATACAAACATCATGCTGGGATCATATTATAAACATTACAGTGTGCAGCTTCCTTTTTTTACTCAATAATTTTCAGTGAGTAGATAAGAATCCAAGTTCATTTTTTTAAAAGCATAGATTGTCCACAGTATTATTGTGTGGTATTATAATTTAACCATCCCTTGCTGAAAGATTGTTTATGTTTTCTTTTTAATTGAGATATAATTGGCATATTAGGTTCAGGTATGCAGCATAATGATCTATACACATACTGCAGTAAGTCAGTCTAGTCAACATCCATCACCAGACATAGTTACAGTTTTTTCAGCTGGAAGTTTGTACCTTTTAACCACCTTCCACCCCCTGCCTCTGGCAATCACAGTGTGTTCTCTGTGTCTGTATTTGGTTATTTTTAAGAGTCCACATAAGTGAAATCATACGTTATTTGCCTTTCTGTGTCTGACTACTTAGCATAATGCTCTCAAGGTCAAAAGTTTTTTTGTTTTTTTGTTTTTTTTTTAATGTTATTTATTTTTAGAGAGAGGGAAAGGGAAGGAGAGAAACATCAGTGCGTGGTTGCCTCTCACACATCCCCTACCCTGCTGGCAACTCAAGCATGTGCCCTAACTGGGAATTGAACCAGTGACCCTTTGGTTTTCAGGCCAGTACTCAATCCACTGAGCCTCACAAGCCAGGGCTATTCCCCACTCCCCACCTATAAAATAAACTACAAGGAATTGCTCTTTGTATATAACTTATGCACTATTCTGTAGGATAAAGTTCCAAAGTGGAGTTAATGGGCCAAAAGACATATGATGTTAATATTTAATGAATACTGCTAAGTACTTTGCAAAACACTTGTAGCACAGCACAGAAATATAGTAACCTAAATTTTTGACAACATTGGATGTTATGGCTTTTAATGGGTTTTTTTTGGTCATTCTGTTGAGATGACATCTCACTGCTTTAATTTGCATTCTCTTGACTACTATTAAAGTTTAACATCTTTTCATATATGTTAGGCCTATCTGATTTCTTTTTCTATGACATTTCTGTACACTTTTGCCCACTTTACCTGGGTCGTTAATCTTTTATTAGCAGTTTTGCAGATGCTCTTTGTGTATTGCAGATACTAACCTTCTGTCTGTTTTGAGTTGCAGGTATTTTTCCCAGCCCATTGTTTGTGTTTTGACTTTGTTTGTGTTTTTTTTTTTAAATATTTTGTTTATTTTTAGAGAGGGCAAGGGAAAGAGAGAAAGAGAAACATTAAGGTGTGGTTGCCTCTCACAGGCCCTCTGCTGGGGACCTAGCCCTCAATCCACTGAGCCACACCAGCCAGGGCTGTGGTATTGTTTTTAACTGTATGAAATGTTTACTTTTTATGCCCATTCTTTCTTTTATGACATTCAGGTTTCTTTTACAAACTACCTTTTTGATATTTTGATCATGGATTGTGTACATTTCATTTGCAGGTCAAAGTTTCCTTTGATCTGAACACTATTCAGATAAAATACCTGGATGAGGAAAATGAAGAGGTAAAGTATATTATGGCACCTATTGCCAGGTACTGAGAATTAGGGATCTTATCTCAGGACCGGTCAAGGGCTCAGAAAGTTCAGAATGCTGTTTACCTCATTTGTGTAGTGGTTTAAATGTATTTGATAATTGCATGCTCCAAGTTGATAGGTGACATTTGAAATCGAGTTGAGAAATCAGGAAGCAATGCTGAAGAAAAAATTTGAGAGATAACTTAA